AGAGAGAGAGAGAGAGAGAGAGAGAGAGAGAGAGAGAGAGAGAGAGAGAGAGAAAGAGTACACGTCACCCAGTAAACAACATAGCAAAGACGTTCAGGCTCGGGGTCTTGAATCACCCGGGTAGTTGGCTTAGACGCCAATACTATTCGCAAATCCGACAGCCTTTTTGTACCTCTCTAACAGCAGGCGCCCTATTTCTTCCAAGAGACTCAGACCGCCCACCGGCGCACAAGCCGAGAACACCTTTAGTGTACTCGACGAAAATAAATGAGCAGCGTGCTGAAGATTTTTCGCGTCTTTATTGATATCTCTTGGAAACGTTGAAACTGACTTGCTCCTTTTCTTCACTATCTACACATGTCTAAGGTTTCACTTCCTATCTTGTCACCATACTGGTCAAAGCCAGCACCTACTTCTGTGTGCTTTTCTTTTCACTGAAACTTTCTTGGTTCACTATCACTTGGTCTGTTGAGCTATTATTGAGAGCGTCGTAACGCAGTTACGAACAAGTATTCGTAGGTATGAAAAACGAAGCCCGACCACGCGCTCGGGTTTTGCACCCGCGCACCTGCTAAAAGAATACTGAAAAACAACCATGATGCACTGTTGTGTTGCTATACTCTTCTAAAGGATCTCCAATGGAGAGGAAGAAAACTTTTCAGAACAACTTCACTTCCGCCAGAGACAACGCGCAGGCCTGTGAGATGAAGACCAAGTAAAGCCCCAGCATCAAGTACCCCGTGTTGCGAAACAAAACCCACTCGGCCTTGACTACTAATCCAACCGTGGTTAACAACATCAGTAGCAGCACCAAAGTGGAGAAAATCATGTTGTCTGTGTAGATGCCCATTGGTCGCCCGTTGTTCCAAGCCGTGTAAACCATCCATGGCACCGGGAGCCCAACTAAGACGTCGAAGATGTTACTTCCAATCGAGCTGCTTACCTGTTAGTTTCGTTGCGTGCAGCACCTTCTGTGCACGACTGGGTAGGAAGCACGCTGACCAGGAGAGCAGCAACAATCATGCTTTTCACATTGTTATTCTCAACGAAAGTGGTCCTCACATCGTATTTGACAGGAAAAACGTACTGCCATGTCTCCCTTGCCAACTTTTGCGACGATGACCGACGCGAGCAGATCTGGCACGCTGGTTCCCGCGGCAAGCAGTGTCAGCCCTAGAATTCGCACTTCTATGCCGACCCACGCGGCGAGAATTGAGGCCCACTTGACCATGTAGGCGGCAGCGACGGAGATGTACAGCAACGAGGCGCCAAAACTCAGCGCATACCACTTTTTCCGCTCGGGTCGACGTACATCGGGCACGGTGTACAGAAGGGTCACTAGAATGGGAAACGTCACAATGAAAATCGCGCGGCGCTTCATGCTCGTCGGGAACACCAGCTCCAGTGGCCGTGCTTCGTCCTCGTCGTCGTCCTCGTCTATCGTGGGCCCGTCCGGCGGAGTGATTGCGGGGATCCCGCTGGTGTTCTGATTCATCTCGGCGTCAGCTGCGAGGGGCGCGTTCTTGATTGCCGAGTGTCTTCCATTCGGGCTTGTGGGGTCTATTTCGTCCGCTTCGTCGTCACTGGTGTCATGTTTTGTTCTTAGTTTACGTGTTTTTCCACGACGAAAAACAACGCAGAACGAATCTCGCTCGTGGTCTGAAAGCATCATACGAAAGGAAGCTAGTTATATCAATCCCAGCGTCACTCGCAAACAGAAAAAAATCCTTACGGACTATCCACCGGCACGAGCGAGTCCCAGGCTCTTTTACTAGGCTCCGCATGATCTCCACCGCCCTCTCCTTGCTCCAGCATCGCCCGATTCGCGATTGTCGCGATTTGGGCCGCCATGGGCTCGTTGAGAAGATTGGTGATGGTGTTCGCGCGCTTCCTGCGAAACTTGAAGGTTGTCTTCTCCTCCTTCCCCAAGTGCACGGAGCTGGACACCGAGTCGTGCCTTTTCAACGAACTTCGCATCGGCTTGAAGATGACGCGGCCGTGCTGCGACGTTCGCCCGCCTGCATGTTCGCCGGACGTTGGCATTCCTCGATGCGAATCTCGCCCTCTCACCGTCCCGCCGTCATCAAAAGACTGGGTCTTCTTTAGAGCGCGGCTGTGCCGACCGTTTCGTGTTGGCGTCACGGGTTGGTTGGTCGGGGAAGGAGGGTTACTTCCACCAGAAATCTGACGCTCCTGTGCGCAAGTTCCGGGTGCTTCTTCCGGCAAAGGTGGTTCACTGAAATGAAAATGTGTGTTGTGTAAAAACTTCTGACACTCCTTATTTTTTCTTTCCTCAAAGACAGAAAGCCTTGCTACAACGCGGAAAATGTTTCTGATGAAAATTCAATGTACTGCTCATTCATCCCGGCTTCTTCCAAAAGCGTTGGCGATCCTGCAGGATCTCGGCCCCCAGCTTCCGTGGGTGACAAAGCCTCAACGTGTGTAGCTCCCCGTCCCAGCGCGAGCGAACACAGGCCGAGAATTCGCTGCGTTTTTTTTTAAAATTCAGATCAATGGCATCCGGTGGCTCAGTTGGTTTTCTTTACTTCTGCGGCATTTTGAAAAAGCGAAACACGTGAAGATGTTCCATCAAACCTGCGCTAGCGGTTGCCCGGCCGATTCCTCCCACTGGTCACAGATTGCCTGTTCTATCGTTTCCGAGCGCGCCATGAAGCAGCAGTAGGCCACGTAAACCAAGAAGAGCAGCGCTGCTTCGGCGGGAAACACCTTCCCGTCGAGGAACGTGAACAGCACGCAGAGCAGGGCGAACGCGTACCACAAACTGTCCCGGAAGAGCGGCCACCACGACAGCTTCAGCGGCTCGGGGGACACGATGCCGCAGGCACCAATGACGAACAGGACGTTGAAGACCGCGGATCCAAGGATGGTGCCGACGCCCACATCCGACTCGGTCAACCACATACACCCGATCAGGCTCGTGAAGAACTCCGGCGCGCTCCCGCCGGCCGCCATAAACGTCGCGCCCGCTACATCCTCCGAAAGTTCCGCGCGCTCCGCGAGAACCTCGAGGCTGAGTGGATTAAAGGGTTTTTTTTTGTTTTGGTGTGAAGGGCGGTGGACGACATTCATAGGCTCTAAATCAGCAGGCGTGCTGAACCCGCGGCGCAGCAATTCGGTGGACACAAAGCGATATGTGAGCTCGCCTCGAAGGTGGAACAAAACAGCAAGAAGTCGTAGATAGATACTTACACTCTTTTACCTTGGAACAAAGAATTCCTCGCAGACGATGGCTAAGAATGCGAAGCAATACATCACCCCGAGGAAGAGCGCAAAGGCTTCGCCACCGTTGCTGATTTCGTACTGATCCGCGACTATCACCGGAGACAAGGGGTGATCATCCGAAGCCTGGGAAAGCCTTCTGCGCTCCACTTTTCGATGATCCGGTATGGTGGCCGACTGGGCGCCCGAAGGACCGGCGGCTCCCGCGACGGCGGTTTCAAACCGAGCTCCGACGGGGTCCAGCAGTAGTGCGATCGCCGCTAGAAAGAGCGGCTGCCCCCCGCGCCGGATCATTGCTGGAAAGGCGCGTCGCGGAGGCTAGCGGGCGCAGCCAGGCGGGACTGCTGCAGGGCCATGGTCGTCTGCACCGCGCAGAGCGGTCTTATCTTACCGCGCAGGCCAGCAGGCGCGATTCCGATCGGCCGTACGCGAGCGGCCGCGGTTGGGGTATTGCGAAGAAACTAAGTGGAGCAAGTCGCTACGCTTTTTATGCCTTTGTATTTAGTACACGCAGGCACGCCTTGAAATCACTGTCGCTCCGCTCCACATGAGCCGGTGCCTCGCTCTATGATATTTTACGCTAGGAGCACCTAGCCACTCGCTAGAAAAAAACAAGGCATCGGCCGAATGAGGTCCTTTCGCGGCGGATGACAAAAGAACCGCGAACCGATAGGCAATTGGAAGCGTTCGCGCTGCGCCACGAGGCCCAGCAGCGAGGCTCCGACCGACTCCGCTTTGCAAGAAGTTTCTTGCAGCAGTCCACGGGGGCCCTTGGGACTTTGCGGCACGGCCCCGCGCGACCGCGCTCTGGGTGGTGCAGCTTTTCCTGCAGGCGCGCCGGCAAGCGCCTTTTCGGCCGGCGATAAAAACGAATGGCCCGCGCGGCAAAACCGCGAGCCGCCCGGCAGCGCGCGCGCCTCGGGTTTCTTGGCATTCCGGCCGGGGCGCGTGGCCTCCATCGGCGCAGGCGGGCAGGTAGTTTACTAGCGGATTCAGCCGGCGAAGACCTGGCGCGAAACCCCGCGCGCTGGCCACGTTCCTCCAATGTCCAAGGCCCGGCCCGGCCGGCGGCCGCACGGCCAAAGCCCCTTCCCCCATCCACATGCCGAGGCCGCTTCTATACCCGCCCATCGAGGCTTTTCCCAACCCCCTCTTTTCCCGGTTTTCTAAGCCTGCCCAAGCGGGCCGTCGGAGCGCCCTTGTCGCGTTCGGCCAATCGCGGTCGATACACCCGGCCAGAGTCGGTCGCCGGAGCCCTATGTACCCCCCTCCCGCCCTATGATCCATGCTGGTGCCGGCGTCAGAGCTCCGATCAGGCATAATTGGAGCCCGGCGACTTCCCGATTTTCGAAAATTCCAGTGGAAGCTGGTGTGCTATCTTTTTTTCGTTTTACATTAGAGAAACAGACTAACGTTCCGGGAGAATGTGCGTTCTTCAACGTTCGCTGCATATTTTGTTAGCATTATGCTCGGTAGGGTTGAGGATCTTTGTCATTTACATAGAGGTCCACTTTTGACGAAAATTGAAAAAGTCCACTGATTTCATCTTTTATAGTATTGAACTGCATATAAATCAATTGTGTGCATTATATAAGGTCTTCGGATACATCTACTCACTTCTTTTCATCCTATTAGTCAGCTTTTCTCAAAGGTCCAAAGTCCTCACTTTTTCCAAAAATTTTAAAACTGTAAAAATTCTAAGACTTTCATCGATTTCGGACAGTGTCTCAATTATTTCCATGCATTACGATGCAAATGCCCTTGCTCTTGTTGTTAAATCCGGTGGGGGGAGACGATGGAACACAGGCCCCCACCGGCTAAGCAACCCACATCCGCGTGGGGCAGATCGATCATAATAGTAATAGAATAGACCCAAACTAGTGCACAAACAGCATGGCCGCATCATCATCATCAAGCACCAAACATCCTCCATCGACATCAACAGCATAGCAGTAGCCTCCTCTGTGTGTAGGCCTCTCTATTGGGCCCTCTACTCTTGTCCTCGTACCCTCCTGGCGGACCATCTACCGACGCTCTCGATAGACTGCGACGGTACAAACACGATAACGCTAGGCGCAGGCGCTATAATTTCACTATAGGGCCACAATGTGGCGCCACGGCCGCCACCACAAGGTGACCGTGGCCCACTTTGTTATATCCCCCTTCTCGAAAAATAGGTCTTAGCCCACTAAAAAGGCACAGAAAATGCCAGTGCGTAGTAAGTGAAGCTCAACCAAAAGCAGCCGTGACTGGATAAAGTACCCGCGAAGGGAGAAAGAAATGAAGCAACCGCGTAACTATCCGGAAGTCGTGTTTTGTGAAATGCAGGAAAATGAATACTGCCAAAGCTCTTACACAGTATCTCGCCAGGAAGGGAGTCCAACCGCTAGCCCCCCTCGAGACTGTACGCGGGGCTGTCCTCAGAGGTCCTCAATAGCCACTGGGCACTCGAAGCGCTCGAGCTTATTGCCCCCACTGGAACTAAGCCATGTATAACTGTAGACGCAAAAGAACTCTGCTGGTAGAAGAAGCTGCACGCACAGGGCACGAGCTCAACACAGCTCGACAACTTTACCCCCGGAACGTGCACACCGCAAAAGACCAACAAAAACGCGATAAAGATACAGAGGCTAACATCACCAGGATTGGCAAAGTACTGCTATCCAGGCCTGGTTTTTGCGCGCAGCCAGCTGAAAACGATGAGAATAGTTGTTGCCGGTAGAGCTAATTTATGTGAAAACGCATTACAGATTCCTTGTCTTTATCCACAATCCTCTGTCAGCGCGTGCATTTACATGTTAGGTTACAATAACAGCACGCCTTTCTTCGAAGGGGTACATATTTTCTGAAAATGGAAACGAAAATATCAACAAAGGTGAAACCGTGAGAACGCAGCACGAAGGAGCGAAAGCGCTGGCCAGTCACTGTCCCCTCCTCGCTCTGCCATGTGGTAAAAACGATCAGAAACAGATAAGAACGCAAGCGAAACTTTGCACAACAGGCAAAGATCGCGCTTTTGCGCGAAAGTGAAAAGCTGAGAGCCTAGTAGACATCCGGAAACGTTTGTAAAAATGTAAAGAACATAACTAACCTAGCTGCCCGTCCGTACGCGCCACCGTCTCAACTCGGACGAGACAATGGTAGCGCCAGCACACTATATAGAGTTCTTGTCCACGAGATTGATGACCTGCGTCCCCGAAACCCCCAAACGCAGCCAACACGCTTGGCAATGCGAATGGTGTGTCCTCGAGATTATTCATATCCACGAAAGCCCGCACGCAGCCAACACGCTTGGCTGGTGCGCGTTGTGTCCCCGAGATTGTGCCCGCGAAAATTCAAATAGAGATACCTAACGCACTCGAAAAACGTATATAGCAATTAGATAGAAATGCAATAAGAGGCGCAGCTCATGGTTGGAAAGGGCTACTCAGCTGCGAGGAAACTCTAGTGATGCTGCGAAACAAATTTTGAAAACTTAGAAACAGGAGATGGCAGCAACGTCTGATAACTAGCGGCTTTTGGGTAGGGCGGCGTGATAAGTTTTGTAAGTAACTGAAGATAGCCAGACGGTAAAACGAGAAGCGCTGGCGTGTAAAATCGCATGACAAAGTTGTAAAAATGTAAAAACTAAAACTGTAAACCTAGATGGCTTGCCTGGAAGTAAAGTTATTCGCGCCCTGATTGGATAGATAGTGGCAACCTAAGAATACTAGCGATAGCAGGAGCACCTTGCCACGACCGCTTGGCATCCTGCGGCTGAGCGTTTCCATCCTGTTTCATACGTCACATCCTGCAACGCAGTTGCATCCTGTCACGCACTTACATCCTGGAACGCTCTTCCCGCATCCTGCAAGGAGACGCAGCGCGATGTCCCGCCCGTTCTTATCCGCTATCGTCACTCCTTGGCGTCACACTGCCGCAGGGGCGCGCGCTCGTGAATCAAACCGCATGGGGTCGCTGTTGTCTCCGCACCGCCAGCAACCCGGCCTGCACACCGGATTGTAGATGAGTTTTGTACCGCGCACCAAAATTGCATCAGAATGCTGCCCGGCCCACGAAGCTCGGCCAATGGTACTCGCCGCTGCTGTGGTAGTCCGCTCCTGCTGCATGAGAGAGTGAATAGCATGGCCGAAATGAAGCGCATTTTGCATCCCAGCTAGCTCGACTTGCTTGTCGTCCACCGATAGCATCGCGCCCTCGAGAAACAAGGGCGCCACTGTATGAGCTGCCGCGATATCAAACTTCCACCGTGCGTGGAGGAGAAACTCCCGCACGGCCTCGAATTTACTTCCGGGGCGCCCGGAACGCGCGTGATTGATCGTGGCCGCAGTGACAGAAGGCGGGAAGTCGCACTGCAGGAGAGGTTTGAACCATTTGCGTTGGCCCTTCACCGTGCTGAAGAAGAGTTTCGCGCAGCGTGCCGTGGCGCGAGGAGGAGATACTCCCGCGCCAATACTTGCAAAATGTTGAAGCCGAGCTGCTATCTTCCCTCTGTAGCCGCGCCTGTTGTCGCGGTGCGGGGACGAGAAACTCCCGCACCGTAAGCCGAGCCTGGATCCAGTACCTTCACGGTACGTCGCGCCGCTTTATTGCTGATGAAAAATCCACGCTATCGCGTGCTGCGCCGCCGTTCCCGCCAAGATTCCCGCCTGCCGCACTCGAAACCCGGGCGAAGAAAAAGCGCAGCACCGTCGTGAATAGGGTCCCCGCACGTTGCAGCGCGGGTTGCGGCACCATGTTAAATCCGGTGGGGGGAGACGATGGAACACAGGCCCCCACCGGCTAAGCAACCCACATCCGCGTGGGGCAGATCGATCACAATAGTAATAGAATAGACCCAAACTAGTGCACAAACAGCATGGCCACATCATCACCATCAAGCACCAAACATCCTCCATCGGCATCAACAGCATAGCAGTAGCCTCCTCTGTGTGTAGGCCTCTCTATTGGGCCCTTTACTCTTGTCCTCGTACCCTCCTGGCGGACCATCTACCGACGCTCTCGATAGACTACGACGGTACAAACACGATAACGCTAGGCGCAGGCGTTATAATTTCACTATAGGGCCACAATGTGGCGCCACGGCCGCCGCCACAAGGTGACCGTGGCTCACTTTGTTTTCACTATAGGGCCACAATGTGGCGCCACGGCCGCCACCACAAGGTGACCCTGGCCCACTTTGTTACTTGTGCGCTTTCTACTGGATTGATATAGATAAAAAGCCTTCCACAAAGGGCCCCAATTTTTTTATTTTTTTGAAAATTTACAATAGGCAAAAAATACATGCTAAATATGTTCAAACACGATCAATATCAGCGATGCATCGGTGTAAAGGTTACGAAAGAGCGGTCTTTATCCTTTATTGCAAAAATTTTCTCTTTATTCAACAATATGAATTTTTTCAATTTTTTTCGACATATAGAAAAGCTAAAAATTTTTGCATTTATGGCAACCATCTGACAAGTAATGTAATCAATATCGGATAAATGCAATAGATATTACAGGCAACAATATGCTTAACTGATGGAATCAAAGCACTGCTCAAGAGATCAAGTCTCTTAATTTTTTTTAGTTTTTCTATTGTCGAGGATTTTGATTTTTTGTGTTATAGAGATGTAATAAAACTTCTTCACTTGATAAATGACATAACTTAACACAAATGGGCTTTCTGTTTACCTTAACACACACATTTTGCACCTCTATAATTACCATACTTCTTCAACAGAGTCACAAGATCACTGGTATTATGTCCCTTGGTGGGCCTATCAGCCTTCTTGGATGGGCCCCAATGGGCACATCCTATTCCATCTCCTCCAGGATCCTCCGAAACCGACCGCCGACGCCCCTGTAATGTGGTTGTCCGCCTTCTTGAAGCCCGGCCGCATGCGCAACCCCCTTCCAAAATGGAAACCCGGACCCCCCTTCCGGCCCGGGCAGTGGAGCTCCGATTCCTAATCGCCCAGGTATCTGCGCCCCGCGGGCTAGGACCGCGCGGGCTCCGCTACATTTGGTGCGCTGCCGCTCCGTCCCGTGGTGGCTTGCCCGAGTGCCTGCTTCGCCGATCTCCGTCACCCCGCTGCCGGTGCCAAAGGGCCAGCTTCGGACCATTCCACCCGCGCGGGGTGGCGGTAACGACGTTACACGAACTCACGCAAGGGGCTTGATCGGGGAGAGTCCGCACAGAAATCGGGCCCGCTGGGAATCCGGCTTCCCGATCAGCCTCGACGTCCGGATCCTCTCGAAATACGGCCGGACCCGCGGAAAAGCTCGACTTGTAATAGCCGCCCCGCGCCCCGGTCCATGCATGCAATCGCAATCTCAAGAAGCGAAGTATGAAACAACTAAGCTGTCGGTGCAGCGGCCAAGCTGTGCCGCAGCAAGTATGCGCCAATTTGTGGCGCGGAAAGGACATCACAGAACACCGCCCGCGCCGCAACCTCCGACAGAATATAGCAGCCGGTGTGCGCCCCGCGAGCTTAGGTCTGGTCGGGCAGCGGGCTAGCTTTTGCACCCTCGGAGACCGCGCGCCGGGCCTCTTCCCCGCCATGGCGCGTTCCGCAGTGCTGCCGCGGCGGGACCCCGCGGAGGGTGATTCAGCGCAGCGCACGCGGTAGCGACAACCGCGCGCAAGGACTTGCGTGCACTTTTTTTACTGGTGTCATGTAGGACACCCGCGATCTCGGCCTCCGATTCCGTACGCCCGGGTGCGGACGGAAGATCTACGTTGTGGCAATGATCGTAAAAACACGCAATCCACGTCCGGCCGGGACGAAACAATATTGATCGAAAATCTAGACGAGAAGCTCAGTCGTTGTTTCGCGGATCAGCTAGGGTAAGGATGACACTACTGCACAAGTGCCGACTGTGCTATACTCGTTCTCGTCAGCCCTTTCGTTGATTTCCCGAAAGCAGATTTCCAATGCATGCAAAGCAGCAGTCACCACGCAACAAAAAAACTACAGGGACACTCTCTTGTCGCAGGAGCTGTTTCTCCGATACATTTACGGTTCGCGCTGACGGTTTGCGTTGTCGCAATTCGCCTAATAAACTGTGATCAAATTTGGTTCTGTCGCTGCTTTTTCATTTTTATTCGTTAGCAATCCGAAGAACATTGGAAATAGCACGGCCTTACAGGATGAAAATTCTTTTAGCAACCGCATTAGCGCACTTCACTTACGAAGTGACAGGTAAAACGGCCGGCTCCTCCTCCGCCGCGATCCTTGCAGGCGCCGCGAGTAGTACCGACGACGCTGCAACAGCGGCGCCGGGCCTTGCCGCGCCCGACGGACATGACGTGGTGCGGGAACAACAAGAGGACTTCCTGCCGTTGATTGACCTTAGCGCCGTGCTCGCGACTGCGGCGCAGAAGGAAGACGCGACCGACGACGCCCTCGCCAAGCACAACGAGGCCGTGCGGCAGATGAAGCGCGCGATGGAGACGGTCGGCTTTTGCCGCGTTACCGGCTACCAGTACACCCCCGCCCTCTGGGACCGCATGTGGGCCTTGGGCAAGCAGATGTTCCGATGGGAAGACAAAAACGAGTTCCTGACGGCGAAGGATTCTAACGCGGGCTTCCCCTACGGACTCGGGACGATGAAAAAGGACGAATCGAACCAGACCTTTGACTACTTCTCGGACGGGCAGATCGACAAACCGCGTTTGCTCCCGACGGGACAGGATTTAAACGTCGACGAGGGAGAGAGTCGGCGGATGTGGAAGGACGCCAAGGAAACGGATTTCCCCCACCGACACGTGGACGGGGAAAGATACGACGCGAAGCGGTCGGGGCGAGCGCTGTTGAGCTGCTGCGGGAGGCGGAAGACGCGAGAAAGCGTAGATCGTTGTGGCAGTCTTGTAGGAATTCAATTTTTCGATTACGTTGCGCTCGCAGGCCTTGTTTGGCTGCGCATAGAAGTTCGTTGGCCGTGCAGCAATGTTCTCGTCTCTCATTTCCACAAGCCACAAAACCACATCAACAGGCCGGCGCAGACGAGGACGACCATAGCTTGTACAAGACTGTCGACCTGAACCAGTACTACAACGAGTTTGCGAAGATCGCTTTCACCGTCGTCGCGCTGCTCCGGGACAGCCTAGAGGTCCCGTCCGAGTTAGACTTGGAAGAAATGGAAAGGACCCACTGGTCCGTGATGCGGTTTCTCGACTACCCCTCGCTGCCCGTGGAAAAACTGCCGACCAGCCCGGAGCTGGACCACAAACTGCGGCCGCGGATTCCGCCGCACGAAGACTTCGGGCTGATCACCATCCTACGGCAGGACGAGAACGGTGGCCTGCAAGTTTTGAACAAGGACGAGACCGTGAAAAAGAACCTCCCGGAGAAGGACTGGAAACGACACGGCGTGTACGAAACGATCGCCGGGAAGGCGAAGGCAAAATTGCCGGACCGCAGTGGAACAGCAGGTGCGAGCAATGTACAAGGTGCTACGGCTGAAGAGCCCCTGCAGGAGCCGTTGATTGTGAACATCGGCCGCGTCTGGGATTCCTACACCAACGACAAAGTGCGAGCGACTACGCACAAAGTCGAGCCGGTGATTGTGGACGGGCGGACGACGGCACGCAATTCGCACGCGTTCTTTTTGAACCCGAACTGGGTCTCGTGCTTCTTCGGGCCTTTGCCGCAGTACGGAGGAGACAAGAAAGATTGGATCAATTTCGGCATGCACATAAACAACTGCATCAAGCCTCGGTATTAAAGAGGGAGATAGAAAGATGATAGAAAATAGAAAAGTAGAAAGGATCGCGCCGCCTTTTGTCGTTTTGGAAATTTAGTACCTGCTCAGTTATACCAAAGTAATTTGTCGCCTTTCTTTATACAGCACTTTGACGCTTATTTTTCCGACAAATTCAAGCGCGCAGGGGCGTTACGTTTTACCACGAATATAAAGAATCCTGTTGATTTGACACCTAACGAAATAGAGTTGGAACCTAACGAAGAGAGATGAAACCTAACGAACAGTAGAGATGGAACCAAACCTTCCTAACCAACTCCGCGCTAGAACCGAATCTTGAGTTTGTGGTGCAAGAGCGCTGACACTGAAGGGAGATCTTCTATTGCAAGACTCTATCGCAAACGATAACGATTCTTGAGAAATAACAACCATGGGAAAAGTTTTTTCGCGCTTGTTGTAGCCCCTTTTACTGCCGACTCACATCGCGATCCTCGCCGTCAGCCAGTTGAAAACGATCATCGCTAAAAGGCAACCCAGTTCAGAGGATCACGAGCTCCCTCGGTCTTCATCCGCTGGGCATTGCATTTTTTTGACGGCAAGATTAATCGCAGGGCGTGTTACAGCATCTGGGTACGCTAGGATCATTTTGACATTTGCTAGATCGATTCACACCGTTCCTCGGAAAATGCCCTCCACAAGTCTGCTCCTCCTCAGCGCAGCTGCACTACTGCACAGGGCAGCAGCAATAAGAGTTCGTGCGCCCTCGGGAATAGCCGTGCCTGCAAGCGGCACTTGCGCCAATACATTCGGTCCGATCTCTGTTGCGGAAGAAGACATTGACTACCCCTACTACAAAGAGAGCACCACCTACACCTGGAGCGCTTTACCTCCGCCTGACGCAATACAGCTGGATGGAAATGGCAACCCGCTGCCGGTCAAGCTGCACCTTTTCACACAGTTCGAAAACACGAGGCGACTGTGGCCTGATCTCTACTTCACGCCCGCCGGTACGGAGTCGCCGGTAGCCACGGTTCCGGCACGGTTGAGCATCGGTTCCGCGGAGCTCCTCGAAGCTGACAGCTCGACTGGCACGAGCGGGATTTTCGGTGACACGGACCACGCCGATTCCGAATGGGCCGAGCAAGGATGGCAACAAAGAGAAACGTGGCCGAAGGAAAAAGTAGACTTCAAGCTCCAGTACAAACCGCGGAAGTCGCTAAGTTTCGTACCGAAATCGGCGATAATAGAGGGTAGGCTCGAAACGGAGAACCTGAAACCTACCTTCACCTTTGAATTCGTCGAGCGAGAGTCGTCGCCCGTAACTGGCGATGGGTGGCTCGTCTACAAGCAAGTGATTCGCTATTTTAGGAGTCGCTTTTTGTTTCAACACGACCAGAACTACCCAATGTGGTTAGTGTCTGCCAAGCCGAACTATCTGGGCGAGTTGACCTTTGTGTACGTCGAGAAACCTCCAAAATGCAGCGTCACACACATGATCAAGATGACCCTGGGCAAAGCAGAGATGGAACCGACACCGCTCCCGGCCCTGCTTTTATCCGCGCGGAATAGGAGCGCGATTTGATTACGTTGCCTCATCACGTGTTGTTTTCACGCCGGAGCAGGACCGAAAAGTTTCATTTTATTCGAATGAATCAATATTTTTCATCCGCAACTTCGGTTGTATGATAATGCACAGTCACCGATGGATTTTTCGGTGCATCTGGTTTTAATATTACCTCTGCGAAAGTGAAACCCCAGATCTGCTTCGGGCAGATGTCTGCCAAGCAAAAAGTGTTTTACATAGGTATGAGATTGTGTGATAGTACACTTGTCAGGAACTCTAGAGGCGCTTCCAAAAAATTTCCGTAGCGGTCTCAGCAGGGTTTTGCGATTTAATACGAAGACGGAAATTATCCATGAGTACGACTACTATAACGGCATGAGGCCATGCGCGGCTCTTACGCAAGATATACGTTGTTCGGTCGATCGCACTTGTTGAAGCTCGTATCGCTCGTTCGAAGTTCTCGCTTTCGAACCGACATAAAAATGCGTTGAAACGAACACGACGAATCGGAGAGAAAATATCAAAAGTTTGCTTTGCTTCGTCGTGGACACGAGCGGTTTACTGTCGGTTGTTGTATGTAGTTGCACGATAGTACCGCTCTCCGATCTACTTCTCTTCACTGTTTCCTGCTGGATCCAAGAAGATTCATCTCGACGTGAGCAGGTTTTTGTTCACAGCATTGATTTTTTTGGGATCCTTGATGTCATCTCTTAGCAAGTCGATAGAACAAGGTGGTACTCGGGTTTGATGCAAAAATGATACCAGCAGAAGTGCCTTCCCGCAACACACGACGACTAATCCTCGAGCGCTGCTAACCATGCCCGTAGGCCTCGGGAACGGTCCGCCGCATCGGTTGATTCTGGCCACCGCGAATGGCCGGGCGGAGGACCAGAATTACGGAAGACGGAACTCAGGACCGACTACCACATCGGCGCAAAGCAACAACTACGTACCCGCGTGTGGAACTTCGACGATGGGCGGATCCCGGCCGGCTCCTCCTCCGCCGCGATCCTTGCAGGCGCCGCGAGTAGTACCGACGACGCTGCAACAGCGGCGCCGGGCCTTGCCGCGCCCGACGGACATGACGTGGTGCGGGAACAACAAGAGGACTTCCTGCCGTTGATTGACCTTAGCGCCGTGCTCGCGACTGCGGCGCAGAAGGAAGACGCGACCGACGACGCCCTCGCCAAGCACAACGAGGCCGTGCGGCAGATGAAGCGCGCGATGGAGACGGTCGGCTTTTGCCGCGTTACCGGCTACCAGTACACCCCCGCCCTCTGGGACCGCATGTGGGCCTTGGGCAAGCAGATGTTCCGATGGGAAGACAAAAACGAGTTCCTGACGGCGAAGGATTCTAACGCGGGCTTCCCCTACGGACTCGGGACGATGAAAAAGGACGAATCGAACCAGACCTTTGACTACTTCTCGGACGGGCAGATCGACAAACCGCGTTTGCTCCCGACGGGACAGGATTTAAACGTCGACGAGGGAGAGAGTCGGCGGATGTGGAAGGACGCCAAGGAAACGGATTTCCCCCACCGACACGTGGACGGGGAAAGATACGACGCGAAGCGGTCGGGGCGAGCGCTGTTGAGCTGCTGCGGGAGGCGGAAGACGCGAGAAAGCGTAGATCGTTGTGGCAGTCTTGTAGGAATTCAATTTTTCGATTACGTTGCGCTCGCAGGCCTTGTTTGGCTGCGCATAGAAGTTCGTTGGCCGTGCAGCAATGTTCTCGTCTCTCATTTCCACAAGCCACAAAACCACATCAACAGGCCGGCGCAGACGAGGACGACCATAGCTTGTACAAGACTGTCGACCTGAACCAGTACTACAACGAGTTTGCGAAGATCGCTTTCACCGTCGTCGCGCTGCTCCGGGACAGCCTAGAGGTCCCGTCCGAGTTAGACTTGGAAGAAATGGAAAGGACCCACTGGTCCGTGATGCGGTTTCTCGACTACCCCTCGCTGCCCGTGGAAAAACTGCCGACCAGCCCGGAGCTGGACCACAAACTGCGGCCGCGGATTCCGCCGCACGAAGACTTCGGGCTGATCACCATCCTACGGCAGGACGAGAACGGTGGCCTGCAAGTTTTGAACAAGGACGAGACCGTGAAAAAGAACCTCCCGGAGAAGGACTGGAAACGACACGGCGTGTACGAAACGATCGCCGGGAAGGCGAAGGCAAAATTGCCGGACCGCAGTGGAACAGCAGGTGCGAGCAATGTACAAGGTGCTACGGCTGAAGAGCCCCTGCAGGAGCCGTTGATTGTGAACATCGGCCGCGTCTGGGATTCCTACACCAACGACAAAGTGCGAGCGACTACGCACAAAGTCGAGCCGGTGATTGTGGACGGGCGGACGACGGCACGCAATTCGCACGCGTTCTTTTTGAACCCGAACTGGGTCTCGTGCTTCTTCGGGCCTTTGCCGCAGTACGGAGGAGACAAGAAAGATTGGATCAATTTCGGCATGCACATAAACAACTGCATCAAGCCTCGGTATTAAAGAGGGAGATAGAAAGATGATAGAAAATAGAAAAGTAGAAAGGATCGCGCCGCCTTTTGTCGTTTTGGAAATTTAGTACCTGCTCAGTTATACCAAAGTAATTTGTCGCCTTTCTTTATACAGCACTTTGACGCTTATTTTTCCGACAAATTCAAGCGCGCAGGGGCGTTACGTTTTACCACGAATATAAAGAATCCTGTTGATTTGACACCTAACGAAATAGAGTTGGAACCTAACGAAGAGAGATGAAACCTAACGAACAGTAGAGATGGAACCAAACCTTCCTAACCAACTCCGCGCTAGAACCGAATCTTGAGTTTGTGGTGCAAGAGCGCTGACACTGAAGGGAGATCTTCTATTGCAAGACTCTATCGCAAACGATAACGATTCTTGAGAAATAACAACCATGGGAAAAGTTTTTTCGCGCTTGTTGTAGCCCCTTTTACTGCCGACTCACATCGCGATCCTCGCCGTCAGCCAGTTGAAAACGATCATCGCTAAAAGGCAACCCAGTTCAGAGGATCACGAGCTCCCTCGGTCTTCATCCGCTGGGCATTGCATTTTTTTGACGGCAAGATTAATCGCAGGGCGTGTTACAGCATCTGGGTACGCTAGGATCATTTTGACATTTGCTAGATCGATTCACACCGTTCCTCGGAAAATGCCCTCCACAAGTCTGCTCCTCCTCAGCGCAGCTGCACTACTGCACAGGGCAGCAGCAATAAGAGTTCGTGCGCCCTCGGGAATAGCCGTGCCTGCAAGCGGCACTTGCGCCAATACATTCGGTCCGATCTCTGTTGCGGAAGAAGACATTGACTACCCCTACTACAAAGAGAGCACCACCTACACCTGGAGCGCTTTACCTCCGCCTGACGCAATACAGCTGGATGGAAATGGCAACCCGCTGCCGGTCAAGCTGCACCTTTTCACACAGTTCGAAAACACGAGGCGACTGTGGCCTGATCTCTACTTCACGCCCGCCGGTACGGAGTCGCCGGTAGCCACGGTTCCGGCACGGTTGAGCATCGGTTCCGCGGAGCTCCTCGAAGCTGACAGCTCGACTGGCACGAGCGGGATTTTCGGTGACACGGACCACGCCGATTCCGAATGGGCCGAGCAAGGATGGCAACAAAGAGAAACGTGGCCGAAGGAAAAAGTAGACTTCAAGCTCCAGTACAAACCGCGGAAGTCGCTAAGTTTCGTACCGAAATCGGCGATAATAGAGGGTAGGCTCGAAACGGAGAACCTGAAACCTACCTTCACCTTTGAATTCGTCGAGCGAGAGTCGTCGCCCGTAACTGGCGATGGGTGGCTCGTCTACAAGCAAGTGATTCGCTATTTTAGGAGTCGCTTTTTGTTTCAACACGACCAGAACTACCCAATGTGGTTAGTGTCTGCCAAGCCGAACTATCTGGGCGAGTTGACCTTTGTGTACGTCGAGAAACCTCCAAAATGCAGCGTCACACACATGATCAAGATGACCCTGGGCAAAGCAGAGATGGAACCGACACCGCTCCCGGCCCTGCTTTTATCCGCGCGGAATAGGAGCGCGATTTGATTACGTTGCCTCATCACGTGTTGTTTTCACGCCGGAGCAGGACCGAAAAGTTTCATTTTATTCGAATGAATCAATATTTTTCATCCGCAACTTCGGTTGTATGATAATGCACAGTCACCGATGGATTTTTCGGTGCATCTGGTTTTAATATTACCTCTGCGAAAGTGAAACCCCAGATCTGCTTCGGGCAGATGTCTGCCAAGCAAAAAGTGTTTTACATAGGTATGAGATTGTGTGATAGTACACTTGTCAGGAACTCTAGAGGCGCTTCCAAAAAATTTCCGTAGCGGTCTCAGCAGGGTTTTGCGATTTAATACGAAGACGGAAATTATCCATGAGTACGACTACTATAACGGCATGAGGCCATGCGCGGCTCTTACGCAAGATATACGTTGTTCGGTCGATCGCACTTGTTGAAGCTCGTATCGCTCGTTCGAAGTTCTCGCTTTCGAACCGACATAAAAATGCGTTGAAACGAACACGACGAATCGGAGAGAAAATATCAAAAGTTTGCTTTGCTTCGTCGTGGACACGAGCGGTTTACTGTCGGTTGTTGTATGTAGTTGCACGATAGTACCGCTCTCCGATCTACTTCTCTTCACTGTTTCCTGCTGGATCCAAGAAGATTCATCTCGACGTGAGCAGGTTTTTGTTCACAGCATTGATTTTTTTGGGATCCTTGATGTCATCTCTTAGCAAGTCGATAGAACAAGGTGGTACTCGGGTTTGATGCAAAAATGATACCAGCAGAAGTGCCTTCCCGCAACACACGACGACTAATCCTCGAGCGCTGCTAACCATGCCCGTAGGCCTCGGGAACGGTCCGCCGCATCGGTTGATTCTGGCCACCGCGAATGGCCGGGCGGAGGACCAGAATTACGGAAGACGGAACTCAGGACCGACTACCACATCGGCGCAAAGCAACAACTACGTACCCGCGTGTGGAACTTCGACGATGGGCGGATCCTCCAGTAGCACCGCCTTCGCCCCACCGGAGCGTGCGGTTGGCGCCGCCGCAGCTCAGGATCGGCCGTACAACAACCAACATGCGCGTAACGTTCCGAGTCCGATGGAGGGCGCGCTATTTTCCAAAATCAATTCCTCGTCCCGGGTTCAGTTGCAGAAAACGGCTTCAACATCAGGCTACGTGAAGCAGGCTGCACACAAACTTCAGGGAGCCCGACCACCCGAACCGCAATTGCAGCATCTTGTGCACCAGCGCGGCAGCCCCACGGGAGGAGAACAGCAGAACAATTGGAGCACGAGCGCGCGCGCGTTCGTCGGCTTGCGGTCACCGATAGGGAGTCCCTTGAGTGACAACGGGGCAGCAGCAGGCGGACCCTCTTTACAGGAGCTCGATGTGACGCAACTTCATGTGGGGGACTACAACGGCGGGCCAGTAGTAGACACCACCGGACCACCAATGCGCGCCGGCAACTTCGCGGCGCCGGCAAGAAGAAATCGACAGGACGAGGTTCACAAACAGCACGAACCTGCGCCCCAACCCAGCCCGCGCACGGAGCTGCGCATGCTGCACGTCAGCGAGCCGAAGAGGGAAGTAGAGCAGCAAAATTTTTATGAAATCGCGAAGACGCCGGAGATGACCTCCCAGGCTACATCGGCGAAGATCCACGAGCAAACCCGAGTGCAGGTGTCCCCCACGTCGGGCGGCTCGCTGTTCGAGCTGCGCGGATCGGCGCCCGAGGTCCCTCCGCGATCGTATCGACACCGAAGTTCGCTGCAGGCGCTGGCCGAGGGAAAGTTGGTGTCGCAGTCGAAGAGCCGTTGGGCGACGCGGGCGACGACGCCGCGGCAGACCTCCACCGTTGCGAGCTCGACCGAGTTTGACGAGCAGGAGCCGATCGTGCCAACGGCGGAGGACCCAATAGTGTCCGGCGGTACTCCGGCCGCCCACGGCCGCGGGGAGGACCGAATCCGGGCGGGGAAAAAGGGCACAGCTAGTTCATCTTCGTCAACCACCTTCAGGCGCCTACCGGTAGACCACGGCGCTCCAGCCTCGCAGCTGCGAGCGGAGAAGAATGTTGCTGAAAGGGGCGAGCAGGTTAAACCGGTGCGGCGCCGCGGAGACGACGCGCGGGAGCGCGAAAGTAGTACCCGGGCTGCTAGAGGTGATCTCTTTCCACCGCGCGCGGAGTTTGGCAGCGCTCAACATGTTTCTCGCCGCGCAGAGCACGACGGAGGGAGTTGCGGTTCCGGGAAGAAGGACCATCATCAAAGCCGCATGGCATCACGTGAAGCTAGCGCGTCATCGAGGCCCGTGTCGAAGCAAAGCGCCCCCTCTCGCGCAGTGCAGCAGGAGACTGAGAGTCACAAACTCAAGCAGGCGCAACTGGAGCGGCGTTCGCGAAACTTATCGACGAAAAACTTACTCAACAATCACCGTGAGGACAGTCGAAGCAAATTCGATGGAGCACACCGCACCGCGGTGGAAATAGGACCTACGGCGAGTGGCAAGTATCAGGCACAGCAGCAGGCCACGCCGTTGACGCCGGGGCCTGCTAGTCGCGATGTGAACGCTTCTGGACTGAAGGATCCCCACAGCAGTCGGAAAAAGCTGGATCCGGAGTCGGTGCGGAAACTCCTTCTGCGCGGTGAGGATACATGGCGGGGCAAGCCACCCAGCGGGGGAAAACTGCCACTAGCAGCAGACCAGATGAATACTTCGACGGGCGGCAAAATGAACAGGAGCGCAAGAGACATTACACCGGCGCGGATTGTACACCAGACTCCATTGTCCTCCTCGCGCTTTCTCGACCATCACAAGCTTAAATTCGACCACGCCACGCCCGTAGTGACTGCGCGGGCAGTAGAAGCAGTTGCGCACAACACGGATAAAAATTGTGCAAAAGTAGACCACAATTCAACATCTTCCCGTTCGCGTGCGCAGACTGAAGCCAGCAGTGTGCGCCTGCACCAAAGCCGCGTTTCCCTAGAGAAAGAGTCCGGGCCAGCGTCGCAGAGCATCTCCCGGAAAAACGCGTTGGCAGCGGAGGAGAGGCGCAAAGAGCGGCGCAAGCCAAACTGGTGGCTCAACCGCCGACACCAATCTTCTTCTTCGCCGGAAAAAAAAGAAGGCGGGGGGCGTGCGGCGAAAAAATCCAATCTGCAAGATTCTCCACCGTTGCTTACTGACAAAGAGAAGGAAAAGCTAAAACGGCTCGCGGTAGCGCCGCCGAGCAAAAGCGAAATGCCGCCGAAGTCGCATAATTCTGCAGAAGCAACTCTAAATGTGGCGGGGCGCGACGTTACGACAAGAGCAGATCGTGGCGCTGGAAGTAGTTGTAGCAGGCAGCACTACAACTCGAGCAAAGTAGAGCCTCCTGGTCGGGGTCAGCCTCAGCCCGACCCGAGCGCGACGCGAAGTACGAAACATCCACCCCCTGCTCGCGCTCCTGAGGAAAAGAAGTCAGCTTCAGCTACTGTGCATCACGACCATGCGACGTCGAGCACAGACACTGTGTCTCGCAAACCCACCGGACTAACAGGACATCAGCGAAAATTTTCCTCGCCACACGGAACCAAACGCGAAGGATCAGCCACACGCCCAGCGAGTTCGATTCAGCATCAATCCACCGCATCTTCGACCGCGTCTGCTACGACCAACGCTGTACCGCGCACGTCGCCCGGGCCAAGCACGGCCGTCATGCAACAAAAATCCAGCAAATTTGCCGTGGACTCGAAGAAGCGGCGGTCAATGCGGCGCAGTATGGCGGTGATGGAGCGGTCTCAGAAGGTTGCGAGCTTGTTGGAGGATTTCACGGCAGAAATGGATGTGGCGACCCTGCTCCGACTCTACGCGAAGATGCAGGCCGAGGCGCTTGATGCGATCGGCACGGAAGAGAAGCAGATGGAACTAATGCGCGCAGTCACTTCTTCCAGTACAACGACGTCCACTCGTGGTGCGGGCAGCACCGCGACGGGGAGAAAGTCCTTGGTGCCAGGTATGAAGAATCCGCAAAACAAGTTGAACTTCCCCTACCACATCATTCGACGGGCCATGAAGGGCAACGTGAACTGGAAGGTGAAAAGCATCTACGAGAATCTGGACAAGCTGCCACGTAGGAGGGTCGACGAACGCAAAAGAGTCGTGATCGTTGGCGCGGGACCCTGCGGGCTGCGGCTGGCGATTGAATTAGTGTTGGGCGGACATCAAGTCGTTGTTTTGGAAAAACGCAGCCTGTGTGACAGCCGGATTAACAGGTATGTACTTATGAAGCTACCTTGAGTTCATGTGCTTGCAGAATCATGTTGTCTTCATGATTTTCCAACGTATCGGAAAAGCATTTTCTTTCGCATTTTAAGGTTATCCTGATCAACTTTCTTTCACAGGTTACATCTGTGGAATTGGGTGCGCGCCGAAGTGGAAAAATTTTCGGGCCGCGTGTTTCTTCCGACTGCAGTGCGCCAGGCGGTATTCGCGGACGCCGACTTTTGTCACTTAGGTATCGATGAGCTGCAGGCCCTGCTGGTGAAAAACGCTTTGCTGCTGGGCGTGGAAATCCGCATCGGTGTAGCGTACGAAGGCGCGGACCCGGTGCCGAGAATACAAGCACGCCCATCAGTCACAGAGCACAATGAAACCTCCGCGAGAACGGACAGTGGCCTGCTCCGCCTCGGCGCGAAGTCGAATAATGTAGCGAAGAAGGCGGCCCTGTTTCTACGGCCCCCGACCAATCCAGAGCCGCGTCCGCCGCCTTTGCCAAGAGGGGGAGTTTGCGCGGAAAAGTCGAGCGACTCGACGCAAAACGAGTTTTGGACGACCCGAGCTGCGTACGGGTTCGGGCGAACGAAGAAGGGCAAGACGACGTGGCACATTCGAGTGCAGTGCCCAGCGGGGCCGGAGAAGGAGGAGAAAACGAATTCGAAAATCTCCACTGCGTCCTCGGAGCAAGCAGAACCCAGTAGTGTGCAGGTCTTGACCCGGGACGCGGTGAAGGGGCAGGTGACCAGGAAGAAGCAAGAGAACAGTCCTTCCGACCAGGACACCCTCCACTTCACGCTGGAGGCGGACGTCTTAGTCGGTGCGGATGGCCCGCGAAGCATCGTTGCCACGAGCCAGTCCGACCGAATCGGGCCGCGCATCGTGTCAGACTTTTCGGAAGCAATCGGCGTGGTTTGCAATCTACGACGGCAGAAAGTCGGCGAATCCGGCCGCAGTTCGGCGCCGGTTGTGCCGGTTACCTCCATTGCTACGATGAACCCACGAGAATCCGTCGGGCCGGCTAGTAGTGCCAGTGCGAGCTTAACCCTCCCGGAAGGTTGTAGCTCGTTACTAGCAGCAAACACCACGCGCACAAGCTGCCCGAGTCAGATGCTGCTCCCGGCGAGAATCTCGACACCAAGAGAACTGATCGGACACAATTTGAACAACCGCTTTTTGTCCACGGCTCCGACCCGAAACACGCCGGACAGTAACGAGAAGCAGCGCAGCAGCACCGGGAGCTTTGTAACGGCACTAAGCTCCTGTAATCGGGACAGTACAAAAACTTTCCTTCCGTCATCTCGGACCACCGCGACATCGTCTCTGAAGATCGAGCGCCCCTTTCTGAAAAGCGCTACGTTCGACGAAACGTTTGGTCGCTCGTCTGATTCAGTGATCGCGACCGTCGGAAGTAATGGAGCGGGAGGATCTTCGAGCACCTCTTCGCGGTGGAAGCGGGCAGACACGGCGCCGATCCAGGTGGACTCAAATACTCCGACAACAACTACAAATGCGACCTCTAGTAGTTCTTCCTTTCCCCACCGCCCGCTCTCCCCCGCACGGAATCGGAACCTCGGCAACGAAGAGAAGCGGCAATTTTCTTGGGCGCGGCAGTTCAATGCCGGATTCTTCCAGGATGTCGAGAAAATTTGCAAGCTCGCGCTCGAAAATCTGGTGTACTACCGGGGGCCAGACTCCCATTACATCATCATGACGCCGACAAGAGCATCGCTGCTAAGTTGCAAGGTATATTAAAAAAGTTCGGTGGTACTTGCGTCCGCGCTCGCGATCTTTGTGGCAATATTTTTGGGGCCGTTTATTTCTTCTTTTTGCTTGATTGAACGCCAGAAGCATCTCCACATCTAAAATCTCAGGTCGACCTGACCAACAACGTTTCCATCTGGAAACCGGTACTTCGGCAACAGCTCCGCCTCTTGCTCAATTGGCTGGGGATATTCGGCGAGTTTGTTCCGGATCCCAACGACGTAATGGCGTTCGATTTTAGCAGCACTTTTCGTGCCAGCCACCCATTCGCAGTCAAGAATCAGCAGCAGCCTATCAGCCCCAGCGCTACTAGTTCAGGAATAAACACTTTTGGTTCTTCATCAGCCGCTACAACTGGCGAAACAATCGACTGTCATCCCCCGGTAGCCCTCGCCGGTGATGCGCTGCTGGAACCCTTCTGGCCCGAGGGTTTGGGGATCATCCGTGGGTTCCTGGGCGCGCTGGACTGCTGTTGGGCTGTGGATTTCGCTTATTCGATGCCGGACAAAGACTTGCTCGACTACAGCAATCAGGCGTTCACAAAATTAAAATCGGTACACTCCCACTCTCGAACCAAGTACTTGATCAAGGATGAATCGCGGTGGGATGTCAATCCGAACACTCGGTACACCGAGATCGGCGTACTACCCGCACCGTCCCCGACCGGTTTTTTGTATTAAGGTATATGTTGAAGTATTGTCATTATGCTAAATTCAGGCGCGAGCAAAACAAAATGGAAGCAAGTGTTTGCTAGCGTCAGGTTGGTTGTCCCTTGCGAAATTAAATATGAAGAACAGAAAACACCTTAAACTTGTTTATTGCAGAATTCTTGAACCCTAATCCGTCGAAAAAAAGTAAACTCGAATTATACATACTTATGCAACGCGCATTGGCGCCTGCTCAGATCATGAGCCTTTGCCTTATGATTTTCTAGACGTGTCAAGTGAAATAAGTTCGCGACCGGGAGCTTCTTCGGCGTCAGCATTGAGTTTGGAATCGGATAACAGAAAACGGCTGTGATTAGCATGGTGGCGGTATTGCACAATTATAATTTTTTGTACAGATGAAAGTTACAACAAAGAAGGCACGGAGTGCTGTTATCGCTTGGTGCGGGGATGCTTCACCCTGGAGGTTTGAGCAATTGCGCAGTTGGCAAGACTGCTATCTTTGTTGGGTTGATTTGGGTGTCGTTGCTGCAACGAATTGATTCACTGTGCAAATTTCTGCTTTCTTTTTGAGATCTCAAAGTGCATTTGCTCGTTGCTGCTGACTGTATGGAGCGATTTTCGATGATGGCGAAATCTTGCTGAGGAAAAAGTTTCTGCAAACGTGCCGAGAAAAAAGTTTTATTTTCTTCGAATTGTGAACCTCAGTTTTTTGAAGTTTTGGCACAAAGAAGAAAAAGCGCAAGTTAGCAAGTAGGTGCGGTTTTATGCTTAGAGCTAGATCAAGAAATGTACCGAAGCCGATTGCTGTTTTTTATCGTAATAAGAAATCAGCCACATTCAGATTTACTCCACCTGTTGCGATATCAAAATGAATCATTTTCTGAATCACAACCCTAACGGGGGGAATGCCCCATTCACGGCGCAACGGGACTCCAACTCGCTAAACGTCACGACCAACAGTACGTCCTCCTCCTCATCATTCTTCAATCCGCATCAGGGAGCGCATCTGCAGCAGTCGCCGAACGGCAGCGCTTTTCAGCCTCTTGGAATGAACCCGGGCAGCAACATCATGATGAACAACATGCAAGCGAATTTCCCCCCGTCATCTTCGCACATGCAAATGCAGAGCAATCAGCAGATGCAACAGCAGGTCCAGTATCAGCAGCATGACGGACAGCAGTACAAGATTACTCCCTTGCCGCAGTACGTCTCCCCACCGCAGCAGCAACAGGGCTATGGCAACCCGGGGGCTCAAGCTCCACAGCAGCAAGTGCCACTTATCAGTCCGCCGAACGCTCCCTGTTTTCCGCCGCAGCAGCAAAACGGACTTTTTCACCCAAATCTGGGACAGCAGCAGCAAGTCGTCCCAAGCGCCGTCGCACCCGGCGGCGGGGGTTGTGGGCCACCGCGGGCGAATCACGTTGGGAGCAATTTTCATGAGATGATAACGATTGCGCAAATGAACAATTCGCTGCCCCCGCGAAACCCACATTTGCCCAACGTCCACATACCCGGCCCGCCGCAGTTTAAGCCGTTGACAAGAATCTCGTCCGGTCAGCAGCAAGGCGGCGGCAGCCGGCCCTCGAATGACAAGCGGACACTAAACGACTCGGGTATGTTGAACAACAGCACTTCTGCGATGAACGACACAAGTCTCAACTCTTCCGGAATCGCTCTGCAAGCTTCGCAAGACAGGCCGGTGCTGACGAGTCGCCCGGCAATTGTACCCGGTTCGCAGAAGCCGCGCGCTACGGCGGAATTGTTGCGCGAAGAGCGGGCAAACGGCTCGGACGGCGAGGATTGTGAAGATCTTGCGCCCAATTCGCAAGGAAATAACGCCAACAACGCGACCGGCCAGGAGCTGCGGCAGCAGATTGCGATGACGCAGGCCTTCGCTTACACCGGGGTAGCGGCCGCGTCGCAGCTGGACATCGGTGCACGGTTTGAGGACGAACAGCAACTCGCGGGTCACATCCACGAAGTGTTGACCGAAATGAAGCAGCAGGGCAAGCCCGTGCTAGAGCGCTTAATTGCGGTTTTCGGAGAATTGAACGTCAACGACGCGGAGAAGCGGGCGGACCAGCGCGAGGAGCGCGGGCTGCCCCCCGTAGACCGATCTGCGCCACTGAAACCCGGTCCACTGGAGGAGAAAATTAGCGAAAACGACCCCGAATCCATGCCGAGCGTGATGGACGATAGCCAGCAGGGGAACAAGATGTTGTCCGAGAAGAAAAAGCCTCCTGAACTACAACCGCCGGCCGTGTCGCACGATCCGTTGAAGATCACAAACCCGAGCGGGACCGTGGTGGAAGCGAAAGTTACCTGGCTGGCGCACGAGCCGCACGAAGTGGACCAGACGCTGAATAAGCTGAGCCGGCCCTGGCCGTACGAGGGCTTGCAGATCCACTTTTCCTACGACGCGATTCTGCAGCCCCAGAAACTTGTCATGGCAGCAGTGGCGAAAGCAATCAAGTACGGACGGCACGCGGTTCTCGAGTCGCCAACGGGGACGGGCAAGACCGCCGCCCTACTGTGTGCCGCGCTCGCCGCGCAGCGCTTCCTGTCGACGAAGTACGGCGCGCACCCGCAGATCATTTACGGAACAAGGACGCAGGGACAGGTGAAACAGGTGGTGAAAGAACTGAAGAAATCCCCCTACCGGCCCGCCGTCACCTGCCTGGGCTCGCGCGAAAAGATCTGCTCCAATCTGCAAGTGAAGCAAGCGCCCGGCGACATGCGCTCCAAGTGCGCGAAGGCGCGGAAGGTGGCGGACCGGCCCGTGAACGCGCGGCGCGCCGGGGAGATCAGTTGCAGCAAGTTTAAGAACATGGGCGACGACCCCGAGAAGTTCGCGTACGACGTGCACGCAAACACCCGGCCCGCGATCGGCGATCCGAAGCGCAGCAACTTGCCCGACATCGAGGACTTAGTCAAATTGTCGGAGGAGCACGAGATCTGCCCCTACTTCCTTGCGCAAACTTTGTCTGTCGACGCCGACATCGTGGTCTGTCCCTACAACTACATTCTCGACCCGAGAGTTCGGGAAAACAGCAAAGTGTCCATCAAGGACCGCGTGATCATCCTCGACGAGGCGCACAACATCGAATCCGTGTGCAAAGACGCGGGTAGCAAGGAGATCCCGGAGCGCAGCATCAACGGCGAACTGCCCGAGCCGGGCAACCGGAACGAGCCGGCGCTGACCGTGTTCGAGGACAAGGTCACGATCAACATCCCCGTGCACATGAAGTTCCCGAAAGGTTCGCGCATCCCCGAGCAGGAGCAGGCCGGCCCCGGGGCGGAGATTCTCTCGCGGTTCGGCTGCAACCACGTCTCTCGGTTCTTCCGCAGTGTAGCGAACTGGATGGAGCAGAGGAAAAACCAATTTCTGGCCGCCGGGAACAAGAGAGCGCAGCTGTTGCAGGAGAAGCAAAGGTTTAACCTGCAGTCGAACCACAAGTGGGAGGCGATGTCGTTCGCGCCGTATAAGGGCATCCGGGTCGGCACGCTCTTGGATGAGCTGAAGATGGGGATCGGCATCGACAGTCGGACGGGGGCGCCCTTCGACAACGACCCGGTTTGTGTTTACAAGACGCTGCAGAAAATCCAGCAAGCCATTGCGAAGATCAAGCACGATGACACTGCGCAGCAGCAGAGCGCGCTCGACGAACTGGACGCCTATTTGAGTGCGCTCGTGCGGCTGTGCGAAAATCCGGAAAGCTACGCTGCGTCATTAATGGTCCAGCTGTATGAGCCGCGGCGGGGGCCCTCCGTCGGCGCAGAGGCGGAACCACCGCAGGAGCCGCGTTTTGTCGCGGTTCTGTGTCTCTATCTCCTATACCCCGCGGTCACCTTTGAGCGCGTGTCGGAGCAAGCACACTCGGTGATCTTAGCAAGTGGAACTTTGTGCCCTGTGGAAAGCTTCTTTTCGGAGCTCGGGCAGGACTTCGCGGACAGACAGGTACAACGAACAGGTTTCTTTGGTTGATTTCAGTGGTTGGCAATAGGAAAAATCGCATAAAAGGAAGCAAATCGTTTGCATGCGTGTTCACGTTTTCGAATTACAACAAATTCCAAAAACAGGTCACTGGCAAGTTTCTTTCTCGCTGTCTGTCGCCGTTGGAAGCGGAGCACGTCATCGGGCCCGAACAGCTCCTCGTCCAGAAGATGTCGGTCGTGGGCAGTGGCAACCGGCTGCAGCGCTTCAGTTCCGATTACAACACGATCCGGAAAGCCGGGAACTGGAACGAACCGCTGCTGCGAGACCTCGGCCTGTCGCTCGTAAAGATGTGCAGCGACATCCCCGGCGGGGTGCTGATCTTCTTCCCTTCCTACACTTTTCTGAACAAGATTGCCGGATTTTGGCGATCCAATTTCGGCCGGTGTCCGGAGCTGCAGAACCAAACCATCTGGGACGCGTTGGAGCAGACCAAGAAAAACATCGTCAAAGAGGAGAGTGCGCTGGACATCGAGGAACTCAAGGCCCAGTACTCCAACTATATCGAGCAGGACGGAGAAGCGCTCTTGCTGGGCGTGATGCGCGCGAAGTGCAGCGAGGGCATCAGCTTCAACGACCACTACTGCCGTGCGGTGATTGTCGTGGGCTTGGCTTATCCCGCAAGGGAGGCGCCGGAGATCAAACACAAAATGCAGTACAACACGTGGTGGCGGAAAGCGGTGCAGCAGCAGCAGGCACTGAACGATAGAAACGCGGCAATGAAGGGCCAAGCTGCGCCGGCGAAACAAAACGTCCCCATCACGGGTGACGCGTGGTACGGACAGGAAGCCTTTCGCGCGATCAACCAAGCGCTGGGACGATGTGTGCGGCACAAGGACGACTACGGCTGTTTGATCCTGCTGGACGCGCGGTGGAGCGAAGGCTCTGGCAACGTGGCAAAGCTTGCGCAGTGGCTGCGCGCGATCGGGATCGAAGATGCAGTACCGCCAGACGACCTCCAGAAAAAGATAAAGGATCACTTCAACCGAAACACATCCAAGAGACGGAAACTAAACTGAGGTTGAAGATCAATGATGCGCTTACTCCTAAAAGTAGTCGGGCATGAAAGAGGTCCTCATTTCCACTTCGCTGCCCTTCAGCAGCTGGTCATGAATTCACCGCAACAGTCGATCCGTTCCAGGGCGGTGGCAAGTTATTTCTGTCGCTTTGGGTTTGGGATTTTATCTACCCGCTGCTGCTCGGTGCAATCACTTACACACGAATGTGACCAAGCATAGAAGAAAACTTTTGCGAACCAACGGCGCTCCTTTTTGTTCTTTTCCTGGAGTTTCCATTGTCCGCCCCGAGACGAATTCAGAGTGATATGAGCGCAAAGCGTGGTACAGTTGCAGTTCTTGCAGCTTCTAATAAACGCGAGCGATATGGACACTTGAGAAGTTGTGATTTTATTCAAGAGACAGTATTTTTGCACGGAAAATTAAGTCTTGCGAAGATGGCTTTCTTTTTCAGGCGGCGGGACGATTTTTGGTGTCGTGCACGTCCCCTCTCTAGGATTGTGCCCGAAGGAGCAAATATCCATGACGCTGGGCGGGATAGACCTGCACCTCCGCTGCTCTCGTCGCAGCCGCGGTTGGCGTCGGAAAAAATGCGTCTTCGACACCGGAAAATTCCGCATGCGTCTTCCGCTCGCCGTCGCAGCGGGCCATCTGGTTTTTGCGGTGGCGACAAACGTCCTTCAAAGCGACCGCGTGGTCGTGGAGCAGAGGCACAAGAAGAATCTACGCGCTCGCTCGCCCCCCGCGGCGAAGCGACACGCTTCCGCTCCAAGAACGCCGGAGTCCACACTCATGGAAACCCGGTCCGTTCCGAGCATCAGTTCGATTGCCGAGGATCCCAGCAGCCTGAAAGCCGCGGTAGCGGAGAGTGTCGACGACATTCTTACCGGCTTTTGCCGCGCGCACCTCGGCGCCTCGATGCCGTTCCGCAGGTATCGGGAGGAACTCACCGCGTTGAATAACTACCGCAGTCAACAGGTTACATCTAGCCAGGACGATACTGCAGAGGTGACGGAGTACGAGCGCGCGCTGATGGAGGCCGCGGACCGGGCGCTTAGGAAGTTAGAAAAACTCCTCGTCGAGCAGAAGCGGGACATGCGCTTGGAAGTGGAGCTGGAGTGCGCGGACTGGCAGAAGCTGACGGAGCAGTTGAAGCTCGTGTTGCCCGACGAAGGCAGCATTCCCATGCTCGCGGACATGGTCGAACGAGGGTGCGCGTCGATGACGGAGGACTTTTTCCAGCCCTTCGACGCGGCGATGGCGCTCGAGGACAAAGCAGAGGGCGGACCGCTCCTGCTGGAGCGCTTAACCTTCGTCTGCCACTTGTCCGCCTACGACCGCTTTTGCGAGTACCAAGTACTAAAGAGCTCATATTCTATTATCGGTTGATTTTTTTTGACTTTTTTTTTTCAAAAGTAATTTTCTCTTTTCTAGGCCTAATGGCGCGGTCTGAGCATGCTGAGGCGTGCCTGTGCGAAGCCTGCATCTCATCGAAACTGGCATTGACCACTCTGAACGAACGTACGATTTATTTCCAGGGACAGCCGCGAGGGCGTGGAAAAGGAAGCCGCGAAGGACCGTTGGCAGGTCCAAGCCAAGCAAGACTGGCGTAATTACTGCGCGCTGGCGGAGGAAACGGCGAACCCGGACGGGTGCTGCGGCGAAAACGCTTTCGAATTGAAAGGATCTTTGTTCCCGCCGGAAATCCCTTATTCCCTCGGGTACTGCGAAAGTGCCGGGCACGTGCTGGTGAACAACTTTCGCAAGACGGTGATGGACGCCAATCCCGCGGTCCTGGAGCAGTACTGCTCGACGCTGGTCGGCCACGACGAGCTGCTGGTTGCGCTGAAGCAACTCTTGCACCCAAAGAAGCAAGACCAACTCGCGGAGCGGGTGCTGCCCGTGACGGAAGAATTTTGCGAGGCGAACTTGGATCTGTACGACAAATATTGGCGGAACTATCGGAAGCTTGTGGCAGCCGGGGTATCGCGGGAAGACGGGACGGGAGAGATTGATCCGACGAACGTCACCGCTTTGTCCGTAGAGTCGGAGTACAACGCGATGCTGAGCGCTGCCCGCGACTTGTATTCTGCGGTGCACCGCCAGCCGTCGGGAGATGACGAGTTTGGCGGGTTTCTCTCCACCATCAACGCAGTCTTGACGGGCAGTGTCTACACAGAAGCGCAGCGGAACGCCACTTTGGAAGAGGCGCAGGTCCACTTGCAGGCCACGATCGACGCCTACGAAGCTATTCCCGAGTCTTCGTTACACGCAAAATCGCAAGCGGAAACCCTGGCGTGGGAAATGATACACACCTGCCCCACGCCCTGGCTAGAGGATGAAAGTACAAAAACAAATGCAACAGTGACTGAGACACAGGCCGACATGGCTGGAACAGCGACCTCAGTACGTGACCTCGAGGAGCCAGAGCAGCAGTGGACGATTGATGATCGGGTCAGGTGCGAACTATTGCCGGAAAAGTTTTCCGCCCTGCTACCCACAATCGTAACCGCTATGCAGAGTGCGGGTGCGACGACGAAGGGCTGGAGTTTGTGGACGCAAGCGAAAGCGGACCTGGGGCTCGCGGTGCCGCATTTCCAAGAAGACGTCAGACGAGTAATCGCGTTCAAGCTCACAGATGCGGAGCGCGACGCGATTCACCGCTGGCCCGCGACCCCGCAAAAAATAGGTGCCGCTTTGCTTGCACAGCTCTTCGTGGGCTCGTGGTCCAACGGTCGAGTTTTGTCACCTGAGCAGCTAGAAGCCATAATAGCCGCGTCTGGCGCACCGCGGTCGTCGGGGTTGCCGCCGGAGCTGGTTAGCCAGATCCGCAACATGATGCTAACCAGCGACGAGGAGCTACCTGAAGAACTGCAGCAGCTGAGAGACGCGGACGAAGAGGGGCAAACCGCCGGCGTCACTGCGTTTCTGCAAAAAGCAATGCTAAACGCAAAAACGTCCACCGCAACGTCGACACACAACAGGCAGGTGTCAGAACTTTTATCAAAGACTTTACCGCAACTCAGCGACCTTGGCAGCAACGAAGAGCACCCGGAGTCCGCGGCGGTACTGCAAGGGTTACTCACCGCACTCGGGCACGGCGACGCTATCACAACGACCGCCAAACCGCCCGGGGACGAAGATCTTTTCGTGTCCAACATCTCCCCGGAGGAGCTCGCTACCGGCAAAGGGGCCGGGCTTTCCTCGATGGTCGGCCAGTTCGTTGGCGTGCTGGCGAAGAACCCGGCGCTACTGACCGCGGACGGGACCACTTCCACGGAGGCCGGCGGTCTACTGCGCGACCCAGTGAGGCTGATGCGGTTTGCGCAGGAGTGGCAGGAATTGCAAGAGTCCGGGGACGGCGCGAAGATGATGGAACTGCTCGGGACGCTGTGCATGGAAGTCCCCCTGTTGGTCGACGAAGTGATGGAGGCGAACGTGTGCCATCCCGGCGCCTCAGCCTCGGGAGACGCGGACAACATGTACCTGAAAGCGACCGATATGGCTTTGTTCGGCGACCTGTGCCACATCAATTCGCGCCGGAGTCTGTGCTCCGGGCGGGAAAACCTCCAGGAGAACTTCAGAGAGCACGCGGCGGCCACGCTGCTGCTCCAATCTTGGCTCCGGGAGCGGAAAACGGAAAGCAACAACGTCTGCGGCAGCATTGTCGGCGCGGCGGCGGTGAGCTGCCGAAAGATGCAAGGATACATAAACAACAAGCTCACCGAGAACTTGGCTTCTCTTCTCGTCGGCCAGAATGAGGACAAAGTGGAAGACTTCCAGGGAGCCCACGGTGCGAGCCCAGACACCATGATCGTCACCGCCGAACAGGAGGTCTTCAATCAGCGTCTGCTACGGGCCGAGCAGGTGTGGGCCGCCGTGTTTCCGGAGTTTAAAGAGGCATTTGGTCTGCCCGCCCCCGCGGATGAAGAAAGTCCCCTTGCTGCTCCAGCCCCTTTAGCCGTCTGGAGACAGGTGATCGCAAAGGCGTGCAGGGATTGGCAACTGACCAACGAAGAGTGGGTCGAACTCCGGCTGCGCGGGCCCGAAGAGTCCTTCCGCCAGCTTTTCTTGCGGTTAAACGAGGAGGACCAGAGGGTACTAAACGAGGACGTGGCTGCCTACAACCGGCTGACCTGGTGGGACACGCCTTTTTTTCCGCACGGGAAGGAAGATGTAGACAGGTGGTGTTCCGCCTACCACGCAGCAGACGGCGCACCAGCCTCCCACGCCCGGAAGTTGGGCCACGGCGCCGAAGCGCTGTTGAACAAGGCTGGAGCCATGGACGTGGTCGCGAGCTTCTGCAAAAGTTTGGCCGTGGAAGATGCTGGACAGGAGAGTATAGCAAGTTCAACATCGGTACAGTTTGTTGACGCTAGTACTTCCAACAATATGCGGAATGTTCATGTTGCTCGCGCCCTCGCTGCTGGAAAACGCGCGATCACGGTCTGCGAAGCGACGCAGAGCAAGGGAGTGATGTTTGACTACTGCGAGGGCGTGCGGCTCGCGGCGACCGCCGTGTACACTGCCTTGGAGAAGGCAATTCAAACAGCCGAGGAAGAAGGCCGAACGTTTGAAGCGGACCAGTGGTGCCCGGACGTGAACAGCTTGGCCGGGTTTTGCCACGATTTGAATAACAAGTACGTGCCCGAGGCAGTGTCGCGGAGCTTCCGCAGCACGTGCTTCTCGCTCCACATCGATGATTGCTTGGCCAAGCGGAAGCACAAGCCGATGGCGGCCACGACCCTGGAAGGGCTGCAGGCTTCGCAGGAGGAGCTAGACGCCAGCATGGAAATCGCTCTGGAGTGCAAGCAGAGCTACCAGTTGCAGCAGTATTTGGAGCTGCTGACGCGAGACTTGGCCTGTCCAAACGTGGAAGCCATCGACTACGTTCTGGAAAGGGGGCTACGGCGGTACGCTAATGCGGCGCCAAGGCTCCCGGACAGCAAACAAGTGGCGAGGTATTAATGATTAATGTGAAGAAGGAAGCTGCTTTTACGATAATGAAAGTTTGAGGTAGGCATAGGCAACGCAGAAGCTTCAGAAAATCAACTCAACAGGCTCTGTTTCTCCTCCAAGTACGATCTGGAGCACAAAGACCTAGAGGCAAGCGAGGAACACCTTCTACAAGTCCGCAAGTTTGTGTACAATGCCAGCAGCCGAATTCTCTGGGCCGCCATGGGTGGAAACGGTGGCGTGGATACGATTTTCTCGTGCGAATCGAAGTGGTGCTGGGTCGAGGCTTGGGGTCCGCGCGCCTTTCCGCCGAAGGGCTACAGCGGTAGGAGCCTGTGGAAGAAGACAGCGACGGTATTCCAACTTTTTTGACCGCTTTCGGTTTGTTGCTTTCGCAGCAGCGTACTTTGTTTCGACGGCATGATCATTTAGGTCACCGACTTTTTCTCATCGTAGTTCTCAAACTACTCAACAGTACCTTCCCGCCGCGGAGCTGCACAAAAAGGCTGTGGAGGAATGGGGCGCGCTCGGTACTGATTATAACGAAGATAGAAATATGACGCACCGGCAGCATGAGACCGCACCGGTGGGCTGCTACGTCTGTGAGACCGGCGAGTTTCCGCTTGAGCCCTGGCACAAGGGGTGCTACCCGGGGATACCGTTTGGCATCTGGCAAGAGGGGGTGGAGAAAGCGGACTGCGTCGACCCCTTGATGCCGGGGATATACGAGAAGCGGCATTTGGAAGGTGAAGCTAGAAATGTGAGCATGGGCTTCATAAACTCGAAAATCTACAACACCGGCGCTCTTTACTCAGGGCTTGTGCTCACGACTCTGGTCTTTATCATGACCGGGCTGTTTTTCGGCTGGATCTGCTGCTGATCATCTTCTGCAGTGGCGGATTTAGCACACATGCATAGAGAAGTGTCAGTGGTGTGCGAAACCAAGCAGAGACAAAGGCATAAAGCGCTGACACTCACTTCGCACGGCAATCTTACTGTTCCAGCGCGGCGATCCAGTATTTTTTTGTAGAAAACTACATGTGCGAAAGCGCCTCGCGATCAACGCTAACTTCGTTCGCGCGACCATGCCACAGTTTCATCAATCTGAACACCTTTACAGGTCTGCGAAGTGCAAAAATTTTACTTTTTTCGACGTGCTTTTTTGGGACCGTATTTTTGATCTTTTCCTGGTATTGACGCTCGACTTTTCTCGCGTCTCAACAATGCTCATCGTGTATCAGAAATGATAATCAACCATGATTTGAGGATAGTTTTCCTCCTCCCCGCACGCATCCTGATGGCGTTAGTGCTTTTGCCTGATCACATCTACCAGCTGCCGGTCGCCGTTCCGGCAAGGCTCCCGCCACTGCCGCCAAGCACGAGGGCAACCGTTGTACCAATTGACCGCGAAACAGATTGCGGCGCGTTTAGAGGTTCCAAAAGTTGTCCTCTCGTGCTGGCATCTACACACAGCACCAGAAGTTGTTCCTCGAGCAGTAGCTCGATTGCCCACTATCCGAGCACCGCGACGAGCCTGCCGCCAAGTTTGTCCCCAACATCTCCATCACCCGCAAACGTCGAGCCGACGTATGCTGAGCTTGAAGAAGAAGAATCTCCACAGGAACTGCAGCGCGCAGCGAGCGTGCTATCCGAGATCAATGGTATCGGGAAGAGAACAGCTGCCCGAAGGTTTTCATCTCGTGCTCCCGAAGTGCTATCTTCAGTCCGTGGCCAGAGATCCGCCGTCGGTTATGGAACAATGCAGCGGTCGAGCTCTACCCTGAACGGACGAATCTTTTGCGAACCCCCGCAACCGCCACCGCAGCTTGGGATGCGCCGTACCCGATCGCAAATGCTCGCCGACCGGGTGAGCGACAGTTACCTCGTCGACGCGGCTTACCGGGGCCTGTTGTGGCTCGTAATGCCAAACCGTCCGCGGGCACCGACGCCCACTACCGTTGTAGCGGTGTCGGGTCCAAGGCGTAGCGCGAGCTCTGCGCAGACCGTGCCGCCCGTATTCGGAAGCGTGGAGGAAGAAGAAGAAAAAGAAAGAGGCGTAGAAGAATACACGACGGAAGCTGAGATTCATGATGAAGAGGAGATGATAGCTTCTGCGACACAGAGATTGCTTGCTAGCACTTCGAGTGGGAGTGACCATGCCCGGTGCTGCAGGTCTCAAAATTTCTCGGGTGCAGCGACGAGCAGTTCTTCTACAAGAAGCAATGACAAACACAGCTCTTGTGCTACTTTTTCAAGAACTACCAGCGGTACCAGACGTGAGCCTGCGAAACCGCGCAGGCACAATTCAGCCAGTAGTAGCACAGACGTGTGGCGGGAGACGAGTTGTTGTGTAGATTACGAAGAAGAAGAAGTGTGAAACCGATAGAAGTAGGCTCGGGATGATTCTTGTTTTCGTCGTGTGTAGACGGTACTATCCTCCAGCGTGGTCCACGTCCGCCCGGCGTTTCGATGGCAGGAGTGTACGGGTGTCTCTAGAACTAGCCCGCAGAAGCAATTGTGTCCATACCTTTTTCATAAATTTTCCGAATACTACAACTATCATCCAGGTCGTATCCTGCATGTGATGCATATCTTCGTGTCACTGTATTCATCCCAGTTTTAAAGATCTTCCCAGTGAGCGTGCGTGTCGATGCACGATCTCATGCGAATCGATTTTTTTATTTCAGAGTCTGTCTGATGCACTTTTTCTTCCGTTATGCCAGCTACTCCAACGGGATACGGATACGCCAAGCAAAGTCGCACTTACCTCGTCAGAAAATATGTAGGTGTTCGCTAATATCATGCGTGTCCAGAGAAACTCAAAAAGGTCGGTTATTGTCGGATAGAACAAAACCCGAACGCATGGTCAGTTGCTCCCATGTCGGTCGAATATGGATTGCAGTAGGTCGTGAGTCGTGCTGTGGTTCCAATCATTTAAATCGTATCCAATCGCCAGGTAAATAGTGCAACAGTTCGGCCTCACCAGCACAACAAAAATAGACCTCAATCCCTTACTTAGAAAGGAAAGAGACATTTGCAACTCCCGTTCTCCTTTTAATTCCTTGAACGTGTAACAAATGTCGACTAGTCCAGGTCAGCTAAGTGTCGAAATACCTCAGCCATCGGGTTTTCACAACGCTAATGATAATTTATGTAGAGCTGCAGCTGCAAACTCACGTACCTCAAAGCCTCACCATCCCTCACAAAATGCGCTGCTCCTCGCGTTGGCGGTTCTCAGCATTACCGTAGAATCCGCCGTGGCTCAGTACCTGACCGGGGCCAACGTTGCATACTGCCAAGTGGATGCCCAGACCGGGCTGACGCAGAACAACCGGATATGCCTGCAGTCCTGCAACTTGATCGAGGGCACGCCACAGCCGACGTATGCGCAGTGGAACGCGTTTTGCCGCACGACTGCGAGCTCGGGCGATTGGCCGGAGCAGTGCAGGGATTACTATGAGTGCGTCCTGGGTTGCGATATTTCCGAAAGGCTGATCGGCCAGGGCACCACCGGTGGAAGCATCGGGCGGCAACTCATGCTCTTGCGGCCGGAGAACTTGAGCTCAGAAGACAAGTGCGAAATGAAAAAGTGCGAGAGTTATTGCATGTTCCAGACGCAGCTGACCTGCCGCGAGGAGTCTTTTCGCATCGACTGCGAGGGGTGGGCGTCGAGGCAGTTCAATCCGTGCGATGTGAATTGCAGTTTTGCGGCGAGCAGGTTTGGCGGTAGTTCAATGCTATTCTGCTTCGCGATTGTGTTGCTCAGTATTTTCGCACACAGAAGCAGCTTCTATCTACCGGCAACTTGAAGATACTCAGCACTTGTTAAAAAAAGCGGTCGTGTACTTACACCGAGGACAAACATGCAACCCCATTCCTCCCCGATGAAGACAAACCCAGTATATAGAATTCGTGAGTCCGTTTTCATTTGTTTCATCTTGAATGCATGCTCTAAACCACAAAATTATTTTGCGAAAGTAGGTTCTAGTTCCTCTACTTCTTCAACGATTCCCTTGTACAATGAACCCACCTATGACCGATTGTTGAGTGTCCAGCCAGCCACAGAGTTAACTTTCAGCAAATTCTTTTCGAAAACCGATACTAAGCCACTCAAAGCCTGGTCGTGCGTTCGAAAACAGCCCTGTTCCATACCTTGCGGATCGATAGTTCTAAAGAGAGATGATGCTAGGAGTGCCTGCGGGAAACTGAGTGCAAGGTCGTTTCGTTTGCCACACAAATGGTGCTTCGTCGTCGCTTAGCTTCTTCTGCTCAAGTGCTTCATTGATTCGTTCGTCATGTCCATATTCAAATCCGGAATTAGCGAGAGAGCAACAGCTCGTTTTTGTGTATACTAGAAAACACCTAAGTGCATGAGAGGAATCAAGCGTTGCAAAAATTGCAAGCGCTCCCCCTCCACATTGTGCCCCTGCTACACGGATTTCGAGTGCGAGCAGTAGAAACGAATGGCCTTTCGGCAAACGCCCCCGCCAGATCTGAATCACACGACAGCCGACCGGCGAACACTAGCCTGAGTTGTATCGGGAGATATTTTACAGAACGGATTCCTGCGGCGATATATGCGGGCATTCTGCTACACGGTAGCCTTCGCTGCGACTTCCGCTGACGGCCGGCCTAGTCACGCGGTCGTTCCGCCGTTGCCAAATGACGAGTTGACAAGCGGATTTAACAGCGCAGGAGCGCTGGTGAAAGATCCGATAAGGAGTTCCTCCTCCTCCAGCAGTAGCTCTTCAAAACACGAAAGCGACAACTTCGTCGAGCGGGTGCGTAAGCGGGCAGAGGCGATAAACCTCCTGCGATATGGACAAAAATCGCTAGCGTCACCAGATCCGTTTATCGACAGGTAAGACGGAAATTATCAACAATTGTTACCACAGATGGACGGAAATGTGAAAAGCACGGCATAGCAGTGAAGAATGTTAAAGGAACCCACGTGCTGCGCCTGTGTCTGTGCAGGCTTCTGCCTTAGAATGAAAGGGCACCACTTGCAAAGAAAATGAAACCAACAACAATCAAACTACAGCCGGTCGCTGCAGGGAGTGCAATCGCAGTATTGTTTGATAACGGCGAATGTATGACGGCGATAAAATATTCATTTCAAAAATATTCACGGAGCCAAAAAAAAAATTTTTCGGCCAGTGGCCGCCCAGCCGGACCGGAGCGCGCCACGCCATGCGTGAGGCATTGCAGAGCGCTAACGCGCCTGCTATGCCCCGACGCAGGTACTGCCTGGAAGTCACTTGCTGGGCCCAATCGGTCGATGGCGCTCGAGAGTCAGATCCTTCAAACAAATAGGGGACGGCCTGCGTGCCGGCGACAGGCGCAGCCATCTTCCACAAGTGGCAGCTTGCCTAGCATTCAGGCGGCAGACCACGGTCTCAAAGCCTTGAAGAAGCTGCCATGGTGCGCTGCCTTGCCCCTGCAGGCGTTGCTCGAAACCGACTGGGCTCGAGCACATCCTGGTAGGTGGCGGCCATTAGAGCAGTTGCTCTAGACGGCCGCACTTTGCCGAGGCGCAAACCCCTGCAGGAGACGGGGTCGCCTGGCCTTTACCAGGATACTTCTGCTGGCCAAGCCTATAGAAAAGCTCGGCGACTTTGTGTGCTGCCAAAAGCCGCAAAGGTTGGAAGCAGAAAAGAAGCACTTTTTTGACGTCCTCAGAGGAGGTATGAATATTTTTACTTTTTGGGCTGGTCTGAATGGAGCATAGCAGTGGGATGCGCAAAAATATTCACCTCCCCAAAAAACGCCTCTTTTTCCCAGAAAGTGCGCACTTTTTTGACATTTTTCGCTGTCGGAAATTGCGCAGATGAATATTGGATAAATCAAGTGTGAGTAGCTTCCGCTAATAAAAACGGAAACGCAGTCTCGTCGTGATTCGAAAATGAATATCCAGAAACAAAGCGGGCGAGAGGTGTCCGACTTGGTGCAAAACAGCCATTGCCGGCGCTGTGGCGCATTTCAGTTCAACCTTGGCCTTTACAGGAGTAGCGCTTGCGTCTGGGCGAAGTGGACCTTTCCAGATTCTGCAAAAAAAGTCGCGGGGTCTCCGCAAAGCGAGGGCGCCCAACCACCTAGCAAGCAATCCGCAAGAGCGCGCGCCACATCATTTTCTTTAGAGGTGAACGAAGGAGCACACTTGAGGCGTAGGCCTTGATATATCTCGGCCCTGTAAGTCGCCAAACGCGTTTCGTGCGTTTTCTGGGCCAGGATTTCCACATGAAGCGCCTCAGCGAAGCTCTCGCGCGCGCATGTCGCGGAGTCTTTTTCCTAGGCGTTCAATAATTGCGCAAAAAAAAATTTTTTTCGGCTCTGTGAATATTTTTGAAGTGAATACTTTCTCACTCTCATAGAATGGGCTGACGGATCATCTGCGGAACTGCCTGCAAACGTGCCACGTACTGGACAACACCATCGAGCCGCGGTTTACCCAGTTTGAATCGTATAGAAGTACACGTGGTTGTTTGTCAATCACATGAATCCAAGATATGCAGGTAGCGCGTGATCGTACTAGCAGTAGCTGGCGCGAGATCGCGGAATCAAAAAGGTCGTAATCATGTAGTTGTCGCGACGAATTTTATTTCGGATGCCACTCAGGTTCTGCGTCGAAGCTGCGGGGGACGTGATGTGGCCAGATGTGTGCTACAATTTCATGGAGTGCGTGTTGGGGTGCAAAATCACGAAGGAGATTACCAAGGACAAGTCGATTGAAATGGTAGAGAATGTGCTGGTTTATCATTCGCTCAGAATTGATGTCATGCGCATGCTGGTATGTTTTCGTGATTAGAAAGTGTGTGTGAAGTAGTGGTGGTGCACTACAATGCCAATCAAAATTGTCAATGCAGATCAAGACCGCCGATCGGCAGGACATGTTCGAAAAAATTGACCCGGGCAATGTGGAAGCGGAACAGCGGTGCGACATGGAGAAATGCCGGTCCTATTGCGTGCGACAGCGATTGGGCACCTGTCACGAGATCGGGTACAGATACGCTTTTACGTCTGAAGTAGAACCAACTTGGGTTTTATTGCGTTTCGTACTAATCAGCCGGGCCGGAGACGCATGAGCGTTCTGCCAGTAAGATAGCTGGCGCTTGAATTTTTGTACAGGTATATCTCCGCCTGTGAAGCCGCCCAGCGCGGGCAGTATCTTCCCTGCGATGTGGATTGCAGCTCGGCGCAGTCGCTGCAAGCGGGGTTTGCGACGCTTGCTGCCACGGTGCTGCTGTACCTGCTTTTCATCTAAAGCGAATCATACCGAGGAGGCTGATACTCGTTGATTTTTTCAAAAGCAGTAGCGGAACGCGCAAAATGAAGAAGCTTACTTTGCCTGCAGAGCTTTATCGAAATGCACACACCTGTTGAGGAGTGGATGTCTGTGCTCCAACACGGAGCTGTATTGCAAATGCGATTAGCAAATGAACTCTGTAATGCCAGTACTAACTTCACCATGTACAAATCCACCTACTTTGATACGAGTCGCTTAATTGAACAACCCTGGCTTATACCAAACCAAGTTTCAAAACTCACTTACACTTTACGTGCCAAGCAGCACAATATCTCATTCAAAACTAGTCTTTCAAACCAGTAAACAAAACTATTCACTTCCTTGATGGCAGTGAAATTCGCACGACCTGCGATCTGCCTCCGGCAGTGCTGTAGGTTGGGAGAAACATTTTGTAGAATTTTGTTTCAGAGCTTCTTCTTTGTACCAATAACAATACTTCGCGGAACTCTTCTTTCGGCGCCTTGCTCTCTTCTTTCGGCGCCTTTCCCTTGAACCAACCCAATGAATGTGCCGGTGATGGTGGAGCAGGAATCAACCAAACAGTGCGGGATTAGTGACGTGCGGCGCAAACAAAAAATCAGAATCAAATCAGCCCTCAAGCTATCACTTCGCACATTTAAGATGGGGCCGAAAGGAATTTGCTAGGGTTCGTCAATTTCCGCTGTTCTTTGTCATGAAGTACGAAGTGTGTCAGGGAGCGTGGCTTTCTTTGCGTACTGATGAAGCGCGATCTTTGGCCAGTCCCGGAATCACGCGAAAATTGCACGAGATGTACAGTAAGTTAGTCTGTAAATTTTCGATGGGCAAGGCCAAGGAGAAGAAGGGCGCGCAAGACGCGTAGCCGTCGCGACAGCCACCGACTAACAGCGTAAGCAGGGAGAATCTCTGTAAGCGGAAGCTGTGTGTAGCCATGCCCGAACCACGATGCCGGCGCGGAATCTGCATGCTGGGGAAAGCAGCGACGGTCACGACGCTAGTACTGGCGGATAAGAGCGGGGTAGTTACCGGCAGAGCGAGGGGAGGAGGATCTTCAGGGATACATGACGCTGCAGAATGGGACGCGAGCGTGGCAGAGCAGAACAGACGAAACGCACCATCTAGCAGTAGTACATCTAACAAGGCGCACACGGACGCAGATAGAGAAAAGGTGGCGGGGACGCAGGGTGGGGGAAGACAGTTTGCCGGACGTGCGGTACCGGAGGATCAGAGTCCACGCAAGGCAGCGAGGGAGCCTGCGTCTACTCGCAGCGTCGGGACTCTGGTAGTGGGCGCCGACCAACAGATACAGGACAAGAAACGGCAGCGCCGTCAGCTGCAGCCGGAGCTGTACTGCGCAGTAGCGGGAGACAAACTGTCGATGAATGACAAATTGTGTCTGCAAAGCTGCCATGTGATCAACGACGAGATACAGCCACGCTTCTACCAATGGGAGGAGTATTGTTTTTGTTGCTATGAACCGACCATTGCGTTGGGATTTGCTGCTGCGATTCGATCAATTTAATGCAAAAGGAGGTGGTAGTGATTTGCTTTGGCGCAACGAGTTCTGTGGGGTGCAGTTCTTGTCGACCGATGGTATTGATTCCATGTAAAACAGCTATTGCAAGGACACGTCACTGGATTCGGATTGGGACCAGTGGTGCTACGACTACTACGATTGCCTGCTAGGCTGTGAGGTGTTTCAAGAAATCACCGACATGGGAACCGTCGCTATCGTACAGAAAGTGATTGCTTTTTTCTCTCGCGCAGGTTCGGTGTGACAGAAGTAGAAGAAAGCAATTATGCACGGTGGGGATGAGTTGGTCTTTGTAGCCGTACTGTCGCAACACTGAGGTTCACACTTCTACAATGATACGAATGCAGCATGTATTTTCTAATGACCGCGAAGACAAACACATAAAACAGTGGGCAAAGCGGAAGGACTTGCTGAAGCAGATGGATCCGAGTAGTATCTTGGACGGAGACCAGAAGTGCGCTGCCGAGCAGTGCCGTTCCTACTGCACGCGGCAGACCCTACCGACGTGTCGGGAGCTGGCCTTCAAAGCGGAGTGTGAAGCGATGCAGCGTAGCCAGCGGCTGATGCGCTGCGACATGGATTGCAGCTCTGCGTTCTCCGCCCGGGACAGCGTGAATGCGTGGTAAGCATTGTCTTATGCGAAACGCGTGGAGTGTTTCTTCAGAGTGTTTTGCGAGGGTTTCGCTTGTGCTTCTTGCGTTGTGACGTCAGATTAAACTTCCAATAGGTTCACGGGCTTGTTGCTGGCGGTGGCGCTAATTTTCTACTGACGCGAACGAGATTGCGCTTGCTCGCGACTGCCGGCGATATAAGCGGCAAGAAGGTTCCTTGCGGCCGTCGATAGTGTCGGTACTGATTTCTTGTGGTAGACACGATATGGAATTTACCAAAATATGGATCTCAGAAACAAGTGCATCACCAGACACACACGATGCGAGGAGGTGTGTATGTTGAGCGGATTAATCTTCATCAAAGGAAAAACGTAGGAAAGCGATTATTTGAATACCAATGGCCAATGGAAACAAACAGAAATCCTGAAGCAACATTTTGCAGAGAACAATCGATAATAATTACGGTAGCTCCGATGCCGATAACAGTAACAGTAAAGTAATTTAGCATGAGAGTACGACATAGCGACACAGAGATCAACACAATTTTGCAATCGAGTTTACTCCTTTTGGGCTTTCCGCTACTAAAACTTACCAAGGTGCGCGGCTTGCATAATTGCGCCAGACAGAGCTTTTTGTACAAGCGTGCTTAGGCAGTACATGTCCTGACACTTGGACTCCGAGGTACTTGGTTGCGCAAGAGTGCGTGCATTTTTTTTTTGAGTCGTGTTCTCACCAAAAAATAAATTCGATCCGCCGCGTGTTGTGCATCTGATTTGCCTCTGAGACGAGAAGCTTCTGGTGCGTTTGTCGTTGTGTAAGTCAGCAAGACAAGACAAGAGGTTGTGGACAAGGAGATGAAGTCGTGATGTTGGACCAAAACCGGTGTTGGCTACGGTTGCAGTACGTACTTGGAAGGATTTCTCTCTTCAAAAAGATCCATTTTAAATGGCAAAGATGTGATGCTATTCGTGCGTACGTAGGCAAGCGTGTGGCCATACCCAAGGAGATGCACAGTCGTACACAAGCACTTCGTTCACATTTGCGTTTTCCGACATACGTTTTGTGAACTGCGCCCGTCCAACTTTTACTCACACCTCCACCTAATTGAAAGCGCTAATTTCTTCATGACCTCATCTAAAAATGGACGATCAGATACTAAACTGGACGAGAGAATCCCTATTGTAGCCGTCTAGGCCATCTGCACGCATCAATCATTCTTCCTCATTCAAACTCGGCTTAGCGCCCTCTTTTTTTTCTAGTAAAAAAAAGAAACCACAAAAATGCGTGAGTTGGTCCACATCCAGGGAGGCCAGTGCGGCAACCAGATCGGTGCCAAGTTCTGGGAGGTCATCGCCGATGAGCACGGTATCTACCTGTTTTTCGTAGTTGTAGATCGACGTGAAGCTGTCATTTGCCATTTTGTGCACAGAGTGATGGAGTCTGGTCTTTTGAACATCCACATGTAGATTTTGAAACATCACGTATTGTCTTTTTGCTTCTAGAAGAGGGAGTGCATAACACACCTATGTGAACCTATGTGACTTCTTTGTATCTGAATCATAATCTTTGCACAGGTATTGACCCCACCGGTACCTACCATGGTGACTCCGACTTGCAGTTGGAGCGCATCAACGTGTACTTCAACGAGGCCACCGGTGGTCGCTACGTGCCCCGCGCCGTCCTGATGGACTTGGAGCCGGGTACCATGGACTCCGTCCGTGCCGGACCGTTCGGTCAGCTCTTCCGCCCGGATAACTTCGTGTTCGGTCAGACCGGTGCCGGTAACAACTGGGCCAAGGGTCACTACACCGAGGGTGCCGAGCTGATCGACTCCGTGTTGGATGTCGTCCGTAAGGAGGCTGAGGGCTGCGATTGCTTGCAGGGATTCCAGCTGGTCCACTCCTTGGGTGGTGGTACCGGTTCCGGTATGGGAACGCTCCTGATCTCCAAGATCCGTGAGGAGTACCCGGATCGTATCATGTCCACCTACTCCGTCATCCCGTCCCCGAAGGTGTCTGATACCGTCGTCGAGCCGTACAACGCCGTGCTGTCCTTCCATCAGCTCGTCGAGAACGCCGATCAGGTCATGATGATGGACAACGAGGCTCTGTACGATATCTGCTTCCGTACCCTGAAGCTGACCACCCCGACCTACGGTGACTTGAACCACTTGGTGTCCGCCGCCATGTCCGCCACCACCTGCTGCATCCGGTTCCCGGGTCAGTTGAACTGCGACTTGCGTAAGGTCGCCGTCAACATGATCCCGTTCCCGCGTCTGCACTTCTTCATGACCGGGTTCTCCCCGCTGACCTCCCGTGGGTCCCAGCAGTACCGTGCCCTGACGGTCCCCGAGCTGACCCAGCAGATGTTCGACGCCAAGAACATGATGTGCGCCGCGGACCCGCGTCACGGACGCTACCTGACCGCCTGCGCCCTGTTCCGTGGTCGCATGTCCACCAAGGAGGTCGATGAGCAGATGTTGAACGTGCAGAACAAGAACTCCTCCTACTTCGTCGAGTGGATCCCCAACAACATCAAGTCCTCCGTGTGCGATATTCCGCCGAAGGGTTTGAAGATGGCCGTCGGCTTCTTGGGTAACTCCACCGCCATCCAGGAGATGTTCAAGCGCGTCGCCGAGTACTTCACCGGCATGTTCCGCCGCAAGGCCTTCTTGCACTGGTACACCGGTGAGGGTATGGACGAGATGGAGTTCACCGAGGCCGAGTCCAACATGAACGACTTGGTGTCTGAGTACCAGCAGTACCAGGATGCCACCGCCGAGGAGGAGGGTGAATTCGACGAGGTAAATTTGTTTTCTTCCGCATATGCGCATCATTATGCACTATTTCTGCAGTTCGGTCTTCATACTTCGCGCATATTCATGTACTTTTGAAAGCAAGCTTCGGTGAGACTGCATGTGCAAGTTTTTTGTATCATCATCAATTGTTCCAAAAAAAATCACATTACAGGAGGAGGGTGAGTACGACATGGAGCCCATGTAAATTCACCAACAACCTGGTGTTGAACCTCTTCGTCGTCATCGTCGTCACCAAGGTGTGATTGAACAAATAGACTAGATGAAGATGTGATCCAAAGACTTTTGCATCGTGATCAGATTTTGCACGTGAATAGTCAGATTTCCATTATGTGATTTCCGAATACTAACACCATCATTTTCAACTGTCAAGGGACTGGTGAAAATTTTGTAGTGCTGAATCAATCTGATGCTACAAAGAAAAGCGGCATCGACAAAGAAGTCGAGTTGCAAAATCAAAAAAGTTTCAAACGCCACTGTAGGCAACGTGGTCGCTCGAGGGGCGTGTGCGATTCTTGCAGGTTCGACCTGTTCATCTTAATATTCTTCGGTCTTGACAGAGTGTGAAGTCCTTTTCGAGCAGAATGTCGGTATGCAAGTCGGTCTTTGTCATTATTAGTTCATCCTTCGCGCTGTGCGACTTTCTCTGCGATCAATCAGGACCAAGACCGAGATCACCTGATACGAAATTTGGTCAGTGTTGAACTTCGCGCAGTTCGATTCAATTGGAATGAACATGTTGAGCGACGATGTGCCTGTACTGGTCCTTAAGAAGATCGTATCCGCGTGGTTTGTTGTGTCGTTCTTTGTGATTGTTCACATGTGCCAGTCTCAATGGTGAAGTAGACACGCCACACTCGAGCGTAATGTGGCGACTCGTCGGTATACGTGTATGCTGACGCGAACGGGCAAGATGTCCACCCAACCACAATGAAAGCGTTTCTGATCGGTCCAAGGGTCGTTACCGTCGCACTGCTTCTGAATCGCGCTGCGGCTGTAAACTTCAACGCAAATGCCGGTTCCGTTGCGTCATCGTCCTTGGTCCAGGCTCTTGTCGCCAAGGTGGAGGAGCTGGAAGACCGACTGGAATTTTTGTCGGAAAACACCTTCCGCATTCCTGAGACGCAGGAGTATATTGATGAAACGGTCAGGAGCGAAGGAGCTCTCCTGGAGAAACACCTGCAGCGGAAATATATAAAAGAGTGGCACCCCACTACGAAGCGAAATCATCGCACCCGCCTGCTGCACGTGGTAATTAGCACGTGGCGAACGTGGGCGAATCTCGTTTGACAGTGGCATGTGTGATTGGTCAGGGGCACGGCACAACAACGACATGCATGTGGCTGACACAGATTGATATGCGTTGTTTGAAGAGTACAAAGGTAGTAGCTCTGGTGAAACGTACTTGCGGAGGTTGCGATGCTTTTCGATGATGCCGTAGATGAGCTTCGTCCAGTACAAGCGACAGGACTGCACAAACAAACTTCATGCGATCGAGCTGCCTTTTCCCTGTATGAGAAAAGACGCCTTGGATTCGCTGGTCAAGGAGTCAGGTACTTTTCCATTACTTCGTGCTCCGGCCTTCAATACGCATTCCGCACAGCTGTTTGGGATGTATATGCGCAAAAGGTTTTCCATGTGAGTTTCTTCGCAGTCGCTCTCCCTGCTGCGCATTCATGCTATACGAACTTCAGGTCTTTCCAGTGACGAGATCATTTCGTCGCACTTCAACAGTGCCGACAAATCGACCGACTGTGAATTCGGGAAACCCAGCAAGCAAGCAGTTTTGTCGAAAGCCGAAGTGGGCACGGTCTCGCTGCAGCTGAATGTCGCGGCCGAGATGTGTTCCAAGAATCATGTATATGCATTGTACGACAGCGTGAGCGTGTTGGACGTGGATTGGGATGATTTTCATTGAGACGATAAGGGAATATCCAGGTGCGACCGATAAATTTACAAAGTTTACATATTCCAAAGAAACTCACAGGACTGTGGAGGTTTCGTGCAGTTCAACACGGATACAGACGAGACGTTTCCGAAGGCCTACAGCGTTTGGAACGAGGAGTTCCAGGAATATGCGAATATCAAGGGCGGTGGAGCTTTTGCGGGCGATATCGTGTTTGTGGAGTCCGGTCCGCGCTGCACCCACGTGATGTTCAAGAACGACGAACCCGACATCCAAGTGGCGCCGGCAGATTGCGAGGGATACGAAGCTGGCTGTCACTCTGCCTGTGTGCGTGCGAGTATTTGCGTCGAAGACGACAGTGAGAATACCTACATCAAGAAACGAATCATCATGTCGGAGTTTGGATCGGAGACGGAGAAAGCGATGCAGGGGGACGAGATGTTTGAAGGCGCAAACAAAACTGCGAAAGCGAATAAGACTCTGGGCGAGCTGGTAAACAAAACTCTGGAGCTGAAGCCAACCGCAAAAAAAAGTGCGATGAGCATGAACGCCACCGAAGGAGAAACAGAGGTTAAGACGAACGCTACAAAGGAGGCTACCGCAACTGCAGATGCGGCCGTAGCGAACGCAAGTGAAGCAGCAGGAGCCCAGAACGCGACGGACGAACCGTTAGCGGAAAACACGACTGACGGTGCAGCTGAAACGAACACGACGGAGGCTGCAGAAGGAGCGAACGCTACGGAGCCGAACGCGACGGAAGGCGCAGAAGAACTGAACGCGACGACAGCTGCAGAAGGTGCAGAAGGAACGAACGCGACAGAAGCTGCCGAAGGAGCGAACGCAACGGAAGCTACAGAAGGAGCGAACGCTACGGAAGCTGCAGCAGAAGGAGCGAACGAAACGGCAACTGCAGAAGGAGCAAACGCAACAGAAGCTGCAGCAGAGGGAGCGAACGTGACGGAAACTGCAGCAGGAGCGGCGAACGCGACGGAAGCCGCAGTAGGTGCTAATGCATCAGAAACCATATTAGGAGCAGCAAACAGTACAGCAAACGCGACAGAGGGAGCACTAGGGGCGACATCAAATGAAAGAGAAGGTACAGGGGTTATCTCGACGGAAAATACGGCAGCAACTACCACGGGAGCAAAAGCTGAAGCAAGCGCAACAGGTAGTGCGGAACTAAAGGATAACAAGAACAATAATATCACGAAAACCTCTGCGAATCAGCCACCAGTGGGCAAGTCGAGCGCTGATGGCAAGTTCCGGGAGCCATTTGACGTTCGACCAGAAAGCAAGAGCGCTGGATTGCTGTTCTATTGGTAGAGCAGCAGGTTTGCGGGCGAATGGAACGATCGCGAAATGGCCGAGATTACGAAATATAAATACCGAAGGTACAGCCGAATTGCGTACGATACTTTGTCGAGAAATTTGAATCTAACCATTATCCTTTTTTCGTGTGTGAGTAACCAACTAGTAACCATCAGATTTTTTGTAAGAACGAATTGCATGCAGTTTCGCCTTTCAAAAGGGCGGCAGAAACTGTGGCGTTGCTTTTTCTTGAATGAATTTCTCCAAGAGAAGTAGACTGCATGAAGGAAATCAATCAATGTACTGCGACATCGCCAACTCTTGTATGTAAAGCCAGTGGTAGCTTATTTCTACCGCATGATAATGCACCTGTATACCATGCTGCATAGAAACAGAAAAAGACAAGCACGATATTTTGATAAAACACATACCTGCACAGGAGCATTCGCTCATGCCAGAAGGACTTTGAAAGTTTCACTTTTGCGACCTCGGTTCGCGGACTTGCTGCACCCAATTTCGGCTTCGTCCACTCAATTGACTTATTTTCGCTTCAGCCAGAGGCACACTTTTCGGCTTGCACCCAGAAATGTTTTTTTCGGTTTCTGTCACCAATGCATCGTTCAGGTAAGTACCACCGTAACAATCTCGGTCATTCGTCCCGGTTACGTCACGCGTTCGTTGAAAAAATCCGTCGTGCTTTTCAGTCAGTTGTCCTGTTCGCAGACACGCATCGTCCTCTTTAGTCGTTGTGAATCCAGTGCAAATATCTTCGTTCTATCGTTTTTCTACCAGGTAGATCTGTATTCCCTTCCCCCGAAGTAGGACTAGCACAAGAGTACCCCTCTACGCTGGTCAGCTTCAATTTTAGCACACAATAACTTCAATGTTGTGTTTTTAGGAATTTAAAGTCAGAGAACTCTAACTAAGACTACCATGTCGACGCACCGTTATCAGAAGACTTTTGCGAGCCGCCTCGAGACCTCTACTACCTCGGGCGGCGGCGATAGCTGTAGCTCATCCAACTCGGATGGCGAGAACGACGAGAATTGTGCTTTCGTGGATCAACATGCCGCTTCCAGCCCGCGCTTCCTAGAGGACGACCAGCTCGATGTCATTTCGCAGGGGGCGAACGGCTACAGCACCGATCAGTCGGTGCTCAGTACGCAGTCCTCCCCCATTGTCCGCCTGGGACAGGGGGTCCGGGTGTGGCGCCACCAGTCCGGCGCAGATAGTGGCACCCCAGGGCCGTGGTCCGCGCGGAGGCTGAAAACGGGCGTCAGCGATGGAGAAGCGATCATACGGCGAAGGTAAAAATATTGGTGCTCACGAAATTTTAGTACCCTTTTCGGCATACTGATGCTCCAGAATGTGACAGAGTGAAGCTAAGTCTCCTCCTCCTGCCACGAGTATTAGCAGGTAGATGTGCGCATAGAAAAAGTCGCCCTATTCCTGTTAAGAGTGGAAAAGTGGCCCTATTCCTGTGATAAAAGATTGGCATAGAAACGTTCCAATCCCCTCCACAGGCATAGCAACTCCCGAAGCCGCAGTCGGTCCCCGAGCCTGAGAAAAAACGGTTTTTCCGCCTTCACGGACCGCGTGAAGGGCTACGCCGAGTTTCACCGACTTCTCGCGACTCGCGGAAAGCTGCCGTTCATTCGGCCAAACGATTTCACCGTCGGAGACGCGCTGCTCGGGACCAACAAGGCGAGCGCGCTGGAGACGAGCAGGTCCATTTCGAAATTGTACGACGAGAGCGATAATTCCCAAGCGGGCCACAGCAGCGACGACAGCGACCGCTCGACGACGTTGAACACCATCAAGTCCTCGAAGTGGTCGACGGACCAACTGGAAGATCTGCGCCACGCGTTCCGGACCTACCTCCCCGCCTACATGGTCTACGGCCCGTGGACCGCGGCGTCCATCGTCTGTCTAACGTTGTTCACCTTCACGGTGGCCTTCTCCGGGTTTTGGATTCTCCGGCACCCGGAGTGGCTCGGCGGGTTTATGGGCGAAGGGGTGTTACTAAGGCCGGAGGAACTGTCCAAGCAGGACTTGCTCAAGTTCTACAGCGACACAGGAGCGAGTGACATGATGAAACAGCACGGCCTGGCCTCGTGGCAAATCCACAACCCGATCTCCGTGTTGTTAATTCGGCTCCTTTTCACCGCGGCGTCCTGGTTTGTGCTCATCTGGGCTTTGAAGGACACGCTGTGGGCGATCACGATGTACACGATGTGGAGCTGGACGTTCATGACGATCCGGTGGACGTTGGGTCTGTTTCTCTCCCTTCTCGTTCTCTTCGGCGACTGCACGCGGTCCACGTCGAAAGTGTACTACGGGTTGGAGTCCGTTTACGAAGTGCTCCGGTTCGTGTCCATCATGCAAAACGGGACGACCTGGGTGGTTGCGACCTTCGTCTTGATCCCGTTTTTCTACATTGTTTTGAGGATGTCTGACAAACCGCAGCTCGCGTCCGAGTGGTTAAAGGTGAATTTCTCCGCGTACAATCTGGTACTGCACTTCCTGAACTTCCTTCCCTTCGCTACGTTCGAGCACGTGTTTATCAACCCGCGGCGGTTCAACGCGGTGGACATGTGGCTGGGCATGCTGTTCGGCTTTGTGTACCACGTGTTTTACCTCTTCGTCCTGGACCGCAACGGGCTGCACTTCTACCCGTTTCTGAACCCGCGCACCAACGTGGCCTACACGGTGGGGGTGGTCGGGATCATCCTGCTGGGCTACGTGTGGCTGGTTCTGGGGAACGCGATCGCGGGCGCGGCGCTGGGGGTCGAGGACGCGCAGAAGGGGAACCCGAACGTACACAAACTGGTCGAGGGCATCAAGGATTTCTCGACCAAAACGGTGGCCACGGTCGGGTCGAAAATTCTCAAAGTCAGTTAAGTTATGTTTTACTAAGTAGGTCAAGCTTGACACTTTTGTAGTTTCAGGTTGTAAAAGCTAGCTCATCACGCAAGTTGTTATCTCATCTGGTTCACAAAATTCGAGAAAAGGAACCGGATAATCCAGTTCATTTACTCAGTGTGAGTGTCGTAGCCTCTGAAGTTTCAGTTTTCATCATATAAGCTTTCATATCAGTTGTAGAGCATTAGAAGCAAACGAAACGAGTAGCCCGCTGCGTCTAGCGGTTTTTCGCGACGGCGGCTTCCTGCATTCAAGTAGCGCACAGGAACAGACGCAGATACTCCTTCGTCGTATATTTGGTAACGAGAGGCAGCGTGAAATTCATATTCAACAAGAACAATTCTGGTATTGAAGGAGGGGAGGTGACCGCGGCTCGGTTTGGCGAAATGCAATCCTTGTCACGATCGTTGTTCTGTTTCATCCAGAAGAGCGTGGGTCTTGTTTGTGTGCGAGTGTGGAGTTTTGGTCGTGGTACCTTTTTGTGGCTGTGTGAGTGACAATTGGGAAAAGTCAAACTCTGTACGCAGGACTCGGCCTTCCAAAACCGGATCTTGGGTCCTTGTCCACGAGTGCTTGCGTTTGTGAGACTCCAAACAGGTTGCAATCACCTGCAATGGAGCCTTCCGCCTCTTCCGTTTCTGCCGATAGGAGGCACAGCTGCTGTCCCCTTGGCTGTCTTTGCGACGTCAGTCTCAGTGACGAAGCCGTGCGTGATTTGCTGGGCTTGGTTTGCGTCTCAAAAACAAGTATTCAATTGTCTTTAGAAAGAGTTTTGCAAGACAAGATCTCAAAGTGGATTGCGTCCTCAGAAATTTATTTTTTGAACTGCCATCTCTTAACGTTATCTAGAAAAGCAAAACCATGTCCTCGGACGAAGACACAAATACGGCGTGCTCTTCCCAATATAGCGATCTTTCGTCCAGCAACGAAGGAACGCAAGGGCGCTCGAGCTCCTCGCGGTCAAGTTCCGACTTGAATCATTTGGAAACATTAACGCGCCAAATTGTGCAGACGGCCGAATATAATTCGACACGAGTCTGCGTCAGCGTATTCTTATTCTTAAGGGGCTTCGTGCCTTTTGATGTAAATGGTTTCCGTTCATGAAGTGTATTCATTCCACTGGGTGCAGCTTTGAGATACTTGCAGGCATAACGATCAGCAGCGTCAGCTTGTCGCGCGTATTGGTCTGTCTGCAAAATTCCTCACCAGGTAGAGACGAGCTTCTGGGGCCTGCCAAGAAGGGACGAGCGTAATGCGATGTACTTACGAATCGACGGCGTTAGAAGTTATTGGGACGACAAGCGAAGTCAGTTTTGTTTCTGGTTTTATTCATGCGGTAGTAACAGTTTTGAGGACGTCGTCGGCTATACCGTCGACGTGCTGGACTCTGCGTTTGTGCAGGCAGGCGTGAGTGCGAGCATCAGAAGGATTGGAGCTTACAGGTGGGATTGGTGGAGTACGCGCCACCCCGTGTACTACGACAACGAGGACTTCTGTCAGACGCCCGGAGACGTGGAAGAGGAACTGGAGCGGGAGAAGGGTGCCGAGATTTCCTCTGTGCTGCTTTGTCACGTTGTTGCTTGCGATTTTGCGTCAAAGATTTTGCATCTTTAGATGGGCGAAAAAGCGACAAAAAGAACCAACTCAACACAGCGTTCCGGGACTCGTGGGATGAGGTGATCGAAGCTGCTCACGATGGGGACGTGATAACGTTGGAGGTGGAGCTGGTTCCGTCCTGAGGGCCGCGACGCTGCCACGGTATGGACTTGTTGCGTGTGCATATTTTGAATCTTCATGCAGGCACTTTGTTTTGAGAAGTTTTTGCGAGCCGCTTTTAGTGCGCTGCAGTATCTATGAGATCATGGGAATTGGGAAGATGAACTCTCCTTGCATTTTCACAGGCACTTAGAAGTTGACTCTGTCTCTGTGCAATACGCCGCGCAGGATAGATCATCATGACAATTATGATGATACGGACTGAGCCCGTCACCGGAAAAATGTTGACGATGGTCAGATCGATGCCCCACGGGCAGATCGTGGCGACCCATTGACGAGCAGACATGGAGCATCATGTCGCGACGGCCCATTGACGAGCAGACTGGTGCCCCCACGAGCTGCGAGCACAGAGGCCAGGCCGTCCGCGGCAGTTGCCCCGAAGTCTTCAGGATGAAAGTGCGCAGGCGGTGGAGGAGAGGGCGGGAGCGGTGCAGTTCGGTAAGGATTTCGTGGCATGTTGTTCAGCGTTGATTCGCGTCCGCATGTCCAACGTCGGGGCGCGTTCCTTCAATGCTAGTCGTATCGTTCGCAATTTCGGCTCTTCAGGTACTGGCCGGCTCTCCGTGTTCCACGCGTTCCCGTGCCGCATCCTGCAAGCGTCAAAGTGCCCGATTCCGCATGGAGCAAGCAAGGAAATGCACGCACTCCATCAAGGCACTAAGCTGTCGCATGGAAGAGATAATGACAGGAAGCAAATGCACTTTTATTCACTCCGAGGCACAAAGTTGCCACATGAAGGAGCTAGATAATTCATCGCAGCACGTCTTGTCGTTGCTTTTCTGGCGTGCCAGTACTGACACATGCTGCCGTGTGGCGTTTGCCTTCGCTATGAAATAGGAATAGTATGTTCGGAGCTGTAGCTGTTTTCTCGGAACCGCATGACCTTCGGAGTGCGGAAGCATCCGACTCTCTCTCGAAGGAGTCGCCAAGATTGAGTTGTATCATCAAATGAGAGCCCTGTCGAATATGTACTGTCCTGAGAGTGAGTATAGCGAAACCTGCTGAGTCGAGGAGCGAGCGAGTGCTTTTTGTGGTGAGCGAAACACGATCGTGCGAAGAGAGCACCGGCTACATGAGATGAATCGCAAATCTTAAAAAGAGCAATCTGAGTTGTGCTAGACGCTTCAAATCGGGACCTTTTTTTCGCAGGACCTCTACACCATACTTATTTTCGAAAGCTTATCGCAACAAGAATGCATGAGCCCCTTTGGTTTTGATACAGCGGTTATCTATCATGGCTGCATTTCGATCGTCCCCTTTGCCAAAGCCACGAGCATGCGCGGGGCAGTCCTAGGTGGAGCAAAGACGTCCTCACTTCAGCTGCATCCTACGCCGAGGTGACGGCCGCCTGGAGTTTCGATGAATGCGACGAATACATTACCACGCGGATGAGTCATGTGGAACCTTCTGTTTCGAATAGTGGATTTTGCAGGTTTGCAGCACGACCCGCCCTGAGGACGGTGGCAGGGATCATTGATCTTCTAGTCTGAGAGCAAGTCATCGTGAGCGAGAGGCAAAACCAACGTTGGAGAGCCTACGTGGGGCCGTGTGAAGACAAGGCCAAACCTACCTCGCTCCACGGCCCGAAGCATCCATTTCTTCTAGCCCGGCATGTTCAACGACTTCAGCCCCGGGGAGACCCAGCACGGGCGGCATGACGGCGCCGCCTTGGAGGATGCGCCGCGGAGGGGCAGCAAGCAGAAGATGGGGGCGTCCGAGAACGTCACCGGGCGGCAGGACGCCCCGGCAGACCCCGCTGTCGCCGGCGGGAAGAAAAAGGGCAAGGACCCGTCCAAGATGTCCTCCAAGGAGCGGGTCCGCCAGGCGCTGAACACCAAAGCCGACTCCACGACGATCATCATCGGCCGGAACTACATCACGGAGGCGGACGCGGTGTTGCCCTACGGCACGAAGAAAGTCCAGTCGCGCGTCACGCCCAAGTACCCGCAGTTGGGCGCGAAAGAAAAAACGATCCTCGACCCGGCCAAGGGTGTGCAGCCGGGACTGAAAGCCGCGGACCAGCCCGGTGCACCGACAAGCGTGGAAAACCTGATCGCACAGGGACGGCACATGGACAAACCGGTATAGCTGCAGCAGCTCTGCTTTGGAATGCAAATTTGCTCTGGAAATTTTCGAGAATTGTCCTTTTGCAAAGGATGCAAAATTTTCAAATTGAACTATATCACAGGTACAACCTTTCTACGAGCTGGCACCAGCGGAACAGTCGAAGATTCGGCTAAACACGACCATTTATCGTATTTTCATGTGCATCGGCGTCAGTTTCGCTGCAGGCTGCTGCGGCGGGGTGTGGTACTACCTGAAGTTCAAGGTACTGTTTAGGCTGATTCTTCTTTGGTTTTCTTTGGCACCAGGAGCGTCTGAAGATAAAATAGTACCTATTCCCGGTTTTTTTTTCGGAGCTTTGAGTCGCAGAGTGAGCAGAGAGATTTCAGCTGCATCGCGGATTCGTTTATTTGATCAGGAAGAAGAGGAGGAAGAGAGTGTAATCGAGGCCATTGTCGAGGCTTCAGAGCCTCCTGGTACCACTGCGCCAATAGAAGAGGAAGTTGTGACGATGGCAACCACTTCCCCACCCGGCAGTCCTTCTACGACTACTCTTCCGCCGGGTGCACGGCTCCTGAGAGAGATTCAATCGTCGCAAGAGGGAACAAGAAGTTCAAGATTTCGAGGAGAGAAACCTGCTTCGTACGAAAGAAGTGGCACAGAAGAACCCAGCAGACTTCAAGAAGCCACCGTGGCGGCTTCAAATGCCGAGTCAAGTCATTCTCCCGTTGCATCTACTTCGGCTGCAAGTGTTCTTGTCTCTCCGGACGGGGCACCGGGCTATACTGAAGGAGAAGGTGATGTTGGAAAAAGAAAAACAAATCTGAATAAAGGGCGCCGGGGACGAAGAAGAGGATCCTTTCGAGCCGTACGAAGACCTGATTGAAGAGCAGGAGGATGAAGTGGTCGCGACCACCACGACGACAACCACCACCCTGTTCGCGCCCACCATTTGCGTCGGGAAATACTGCTTCAGTACTTCTCTTTTATGTCACTTCGAGCCGTGCCTGTAGCCTGGGATTGCAAGATTTGGATGTACCCATGGACATTTAAAGATAGGATTCCCCGCAATGCTGAATTGTCTGCCTGTGTTTTTGCTTTCAGACTTTTTCGATCGTGACAAAAAATGGATAATCACCCTAGGTTCTCTGTCCTGCGAGCAGTTCGACACGAACATTTTGCAGCAGGTGTCCGACCACTTAACGCAGTCCTACTATCCGCTGGTAACAACGATAAACTCGATGACGGACTGCGTCAATGCCACTATTTACGGCGTGCCGGACCAAGGTACGAAAGACATTAATCTCATCGAAATTCATGCTCAACGACTGTTGCGTAAGATATCGATCGCGAGGATCAATGACATGCTTGATGTACTACCTACCACTTGAATTTTCATCATCTTGCCAACATTTATTTCACAGCCGAGGCCGCAGTGTGTGGGAACCCAGCGTTTGGTTGCAACGCGATCCAGCTCATCCCAGCAAAGTTGTTTCCCTTCCTGATGGGCCAGGCAGCCAAAGCCCGCGACATTCCCTGTGGGTGCGAGCTGTGCAAGTGGCCCCTGAGTTACATCACGTCGGAACAGGGCGTGCAGTTCTGCGGGGAATCCAACGCACGAGCGTATGTGGAGGGCGATCCTTGCGGCTCCGTTTGCGGGCTCACATGGCGTATTTGAGGATTTTTGCCTGCTGTGTCGGTGTACACAAGACCACATATTGCAATGCCTATTCCTTGGAAGATTTTTGAGACGCATACAATATTTTTCACCCTTTGCCTAGGCAAGACATTGGTTATTTGATCTGAAATGTTATTTAATGTTCCAACTCTAAATGACAGCGGAAATGACGACGGGCAACATCACGGATACCAGTACCACCACTACTACCACGACCAGCACGACGTCCACCACCACGACAATCGATACGACGATTTGCATCGGCCCCGACTACCGCCCTAACGACAACCACTGCCCGGAGTGCACGACGTATCACAGCCGCATTGTGGGCGCCATGGCCAACTCCCTGCAGGCGACCAGCAGTGATTTGGTAAACTGCGTCAAGCGCACGTACGAGGGACTGCCGCAGCTGGCGACGCTCGGCTTCGGGCGCAGCTGCAGTTCCCAGCGCCTGTGCTTCGCCTTCGAGGTGATGGTTTTCGAATTCGCGAAGTCCGCCGATCCCTTGCGCGGAATGGTCAGCAACGAAAAATGCGCCTGCGAATTGTGCAAGTGGCCACGAGACTGGTAGTGTTTGCTCTTCCAGTTTGATGTGTCGAGGGTTCGGCAAGTGAAGGTGACGTAGATTGATACTAAGTTTTTTTGTTAAGAAGTACAACTTACGTTTGGAGTAAAGATAATCCGACATCAAAAAACAGGCTTTCCTATGGTCCGGGGCGCAATTGCTTGAACGCCCAAAATATCGTCGAGGGCAAGTGGTGCGGGCCGTATTGCAACGGAACCTACCCGATAACCTACACCGGTGATACTTCCACTTGGACGGGTCTCACCCCGGTGGAAGTCAGTAGCTACAACCCCGCCACTGATGGTGCGAACGGCACGAATGGAACAAACGGAACTAACAGCACGCTGCGTGTGCTGTCCGAGGGGGACGGTTTGCAGATCGGAAATGACCATCACGACGCGCACGAGGACGAGGGTAGTACGATTGAGGGGCAGGCTTCGTCTAGTTCTAGCAGGAGGCCGCGTGATGGTCTCACGTACAATGTTGAGCAGAAGAAAATCACAGGAGACAGTCCTTCTTCGTCTTCTACGTCAAATGGCGTTGAGGGTGATGCAGCGTCACGGGATGTCACGAATCAGAATTCATGGCTCTCGAACGCCTGGAAGCGGTTCGCACGCTGGATGTCGCCGGGCGTGTTTCTCGCTACGCCGACGTCGCAGCACCCTCGAGGAGTGATAGAGCCATTAACTGCCGGAACAACTGGAGTCGTCATCAAGCTGCTTCCTGTTGGCAGCACGAAAGACCACGTGGAGCAGAAGAGCAGGATACCAATAGGAGAGCTGGAAGTTGTTCGTCTTTCCCCTTCAGATCCTAACTTCGACGGCCCACCGGACCAAGCCTCGGAGCATTCTCCAGACACAACATCCAACGCTCTAGTCGTGCCGCCACAAGGTTTCCTGCTAGACAGCACGTCGGGTCTTTTCGCTGCAGACGTGGACGAACATCGGCACAGCGACGCGTCTGCGATGTGTCACCTGGTCGCACACGAAGTCGGGGGCTACGGTAGTAGTTCTCCGTGGAGCAATCCGCTACGACCGACTGCGCAGGATGCGGAGTCTCCGAGTTCCCCGTCGCCAAAAAGTTCTTCAGAAGCGCTGGACACGACCTGGTCCGAGATTGGGGAACGACAGGCGAAGCTGCACGGCTTGCGGTCAGTGTTTACCAGGCGGGTCCGGGTGGAGTACGAAAAGAAAACGGGAACAGAGCAGCTACTCGTGGATTACGCGGGCCAATGGAGCGAAAGTCCGACGAGTGCGGGTCGTGACAAAGCAGGCGCGGGTGCTAGTAGTGCAACACCTGCGGGGGGACGAGGAGTAGTTTCCTCATCGTCAACGCCAACTGCAGAAAAAACGATCGCGGCACGCTCGTCGAAGCTCTCTTCGCTTCCTGCGGTGTTCAGTAGCCAAGGAGAAAGTAGAGATAAAAACCTCGACCGTCTTTCGATAGGCGCAGACAGCAGAAGCCTCGGGCTCGGGTCAGACGCGCAGAAATCTGCGGTGGATCACAAAACTTCTACGTCACGACCGTCAGTCGACGAGAAACTCGACCAGCAGAAAAATCCGCCGCAGAAAACAGGTTCCTTCCACTACACGTTTTCGCAAGATGGCGAGTTCGGCGTCGAAGCTACTGCGCAGAACGGCAACGACGAAACTGACGATGTCAACATTTACTGGTGGGAGGGGCCTGGGGAGATGAAAGAGATACCTGTTTCCAGCCAGGAAGTCCTCGAATCGATGAAGGGGTTATGGAAGCAGAACAACCCTCGGGCGGTCTTTTCCCTCGCAACTCTAGTACAGCGCCTGCGCGCGATACAAGAGAGAAAACGGGATGAGGCGCTGGAACAGAAACGGATAAAAGAGCTGCTAGCCACGGTTTCTACTTCGAAGTCGGACAGAGCAGAGCAACACCAACAGCCCCAGGATAGTAGCGTAGCAACAGTGCTGTCGGCAACGAGTACAGTAGCTCCCGGTGCTCCTCCTCCCGATAGCAAGGAGTCCGCGAAAAATCTTGCAGCACCGAGGGTGCCAGCGCAGAGTCGACGTCCGCAGAATCCTAGAGAACGCGTTCCAAGTGACAACAAGGTTGATAGGACTCGAAGAATACGAAAAGAAGCGACGCCTCCTCCGCCGGGGCGTACGAACAGAGTACCGGAGCCAAGTCCGAGCTCCCTTTCGACCGGCAGTAGCGGCATGCAGCCCGGTTTCGCCACGAATTCTTTCGAGAATTGGAAAAACCGGGGGAGATAGCAGTGTTTGCGTGGTGTCATCAACCAGCCCTACTCATGGGTTTGAAACAAATGAACCGACTTGTATCTCTTTAGCTACCTTCTTTTGTTTGCGAAAAGACTTTTGGAAGTTTTACTACCCCGTTGTAACAAAGCAATCTTGAACTTGGCTTAGCATCTTGAAAACTAATTACTTTGCAATCTAGATATCGCAGAACTTTGGATAAACTCCATCAGGTCAACGTCAACGTTAAGAATTCGGAATAAACTTTTCATTAGCAGCTGCAAGCATGTTGCATTCGCTGAGTGATTGATTAACCCATTGCTGAAGAACTCTTTTTGCAGACTCCAACGCACCCAGCTTTTTTTCAAAATAGGCACGACAATTCACTCCGTTCGAGTCTCGACCGCAAGGCAAGGATAGGAAACGCTGAACCCTATAAAAATAGCTCTCTGTTCGCTCTCCTGTGCATCATCTCATGAACTTTTTCAGAATAGTAGCTTACTTCGTGTTGGCGGATCGTCGCATCGTCGTTGAAGTCGAATAGCGGTTCGTTACAAAGTCCGTATGCAAAAATATCGTTGCACTGTCGTGGACTGGGTCGTCATTTCGTATCACGTCATCGTCATCAATCTTGATACAACTCAATCGGTCTGATCTTGTCTTAGAAAATCTTGTTCATGCATATCGTTCGTTGTAGCCTATTTTTCCTGTTCTAGTAGAAGATGAAGAAAAGCAAAAGATAAATCATCTACTGTGCCATTTGTCATCCCGTGTCTTGTAGTGCTTGTTTTTTTTTAGCAACAGTGAGTAAGTTAACATTCCAATGAGTGGGCATCTCTAGTAGCCAAAAAAATTCAAGACTTTTGCAAGGTGCTTGAGGCTACCGTGCCTTGAGCACAGCCTTTCTATGGCAACAACGTGACAAGGTAGTTCACACTATTACTGGTACTATCCGTACTACTAACTATCAGAAAGAAAATGGTAAACACGATTTCGGTTGCGGCCGCCGAATCGGCTGCGGACGCTGGTGCTCCCGTTCTTACTAGTTCCCAGCGAGGTCCGGCGCGCCGGTCGCCGTCGACGCTGCACTTTCTGCGCAATATGTTTGACGAGGAAGAGGAGGTGATCCAGAAGCCGATCGTGATCAACCCAGTGTGCCGGGTGCTGCCCCCGCCGGACTACTCGCGTTTCGAGTTCTTGGCGCTGCCGAACCAGAAGGCTCGTTTGCCCATTTTCCCCCCGAAGCACCGCGAGCTGCCGTTGTCCTTTTTTCGCAACGTTTTCGCGGTTTTGTCGCTTCGTTTCGGGGACCGCAAGACCGGCGAGATTGCCGCGTCCCTCTTCGAGCGCGCGATGCGTCGCATTTGCCGCATCATCGGCGATCCGAAGCGCAAGATCGACACGGCGCGGTACGTATCAAATGCAAAAATGTCTGGGTCTGGAAGAATGCTGCAAGTTTGTCATGCTTGTCTCACATGACTCTCGAATTTGTCATGCACATTACCCAAGATCCCCATTTTTCTGTCATGCAGAAACGCAGTTTGTAATGCAGAGTAGGCAACACCTAGAAGCTCAGAAACTTGTCGTGCTGAGCCAGCACTTGTGGCCTCCTCATGATACGCCAGCCAGCATCACAAGTTTCCAGACCCAGACACTTTTGCATTTGATAGTACGACGTCGATGGTTCCGGCGCGGTGGGCTGGTGGGAGTTTGTGTCCTGCTGTATCAATTGTAAAAATGTCTGGGTCTGGAAGATTGCAACTTGTCATGCTAAATCTGCAGCATGCAAAAATCTGTGTTGCATGATTACCAAAAGTCGTCCAGTTTTGACCAAGTCGGGAGGTAGTTTGTCATGCAGGATAGGCATTAGAAAGGTCTCGCAGAATCTGTCATGCTAGGTCCTGCATTCCAGACCTCATGGGTCCTGGAAAAGCAGCATCACAAATCGCGCACTCTTCCAGACCCAGACATTTTTACATTTCATATGCTGGAAGGACGAGCGGTTTGCCATCCGGCTGAACAACTGGGAGCGCATCTACCTGTGCTTCGACGACGCACAGAGCTGTCAACTGGCTCGGTATCTGTCCGTGTTCATCCTGCTGACGATTATGGTGTCTTCCGCGATTTTCGTGATCGGCACGCTGCCCTCGCTCCGTCGCTGGCCGAGCGACGAGTGCGAGCGGCGATGTGACTTGAACCTGCGTCAGACGGTGATGACCGAAACGGAAAAGGCCTACTGCGAGAAGAAGTGCGAACCGGTTCCGGCGGTGGTTTTCGACACCCTAGAAATCATCTGCGTGATCATCTTTTCCCTCGAGTACGGGATCCGAATCGCGGCCGCGCACGCGTGCCGGAACGAAGCGATCCAGCTCAGTGGGCTTCATAATCTGGTCGTGAACGAGAGTGCGCGCAGTACGCGCGGAGGGTTCTACCGCACGTGGCTGTTTTTCATCAATCCCATGAACATTATCGATCTCATGGCGGTCGCGCCGTTCTACATCGAACTGGTGACCAACAAGCTGGTCAACGACGCCGGGGACGGGGAGGGGCTCTCGGGGTCGACGGTGCTGCGCGTCGTCCGGTTAACCAGGTTGTTTAGGCTGTTGAAGGTACAGTGGACGTGTTTTGGTCGAGGACATCGATTTATTGATTGGTAGAAAAATTAAAATGTTGAGCCAATGAGTTGGCATCTAAATCTATTCCTTGGAGATTTGTGCAGCAAGAAACTGAAACCGAAAATTCACTCGTCTCTCCTCAGGTAGCGCGTTACTTCCAAACGCTGCAAGTCATTGTCCTCGTTGTGCAGCGAGCGGCGGCTGGTTTGTTGGTGCTCTTCTTCGTGTTGATGTTGTGCGTGATTTTTTCCGCGTCCGTCGTCTTTTACGCGGAGCAGGGAGACTGGGACGCGCGCACGGATTCGTACACACGGTACAACTGGGTGGACGGGGAATTTGAAAAGACGCCGTTTAAGTCCATCCCGCACAGTTTGTGGTGGAGTTTTGTCACGTACACGACAGTGGGTTACGGTGACATGATGCCGTACTCGGTCATTGGTCAGGTCTTGTGCGTTATCAGTATGCTGTGTTCCATGCTGTCCGTCGGGATGCCGACGTCGGTGCTGCTGCGCTGCTTCAACGAGGTGTGGGATGAAGCAACGGAAGGACAGAGTGAGGCCCAGAAGCAATCAGAGGTATATGATCATGTGGTGTGATTTTTCGCATAAGAAAATGGATTTTCAGCATGTTTCGCTTAAATAAGAACAAATCGCTTTAGATATGCTCGGCTTGTTCTATCTGGTTTTATTCACAAAAGAACCTGCTATCCAGGTAGAAAGAGAAGCGGTAGAAAACGTTTACCTTTACGCCGAACCGTGGAAGCAGTGCCGTCGCGTGACGCTCGAGGTGTACGACGACACGCTAACTTCGAAGAGCAACGACTTTCTCGGGCAGGTGAGCATTGAGTTCGACACGATTGGCGCCCCAAGTTTGAAATCCAATAGCGAGGTGCTGGCCTGGGCCAGGGAGACGGGGGAGATTATCGCGAACTCGAAAGCGGACGCACCGGAGGGCATCATTGATAGCCGGTCCAACTCCTACGAGATGATGCAAAGGGACACGACTGTAGACTACGAGGCGTATTACAGCCGTATGACGCTGGAATTGCAGGATAACCCGATCAAACCGCGCTCCGCGCACTTGGGGAAGGTCAGAGGAACAATCACCTTTGAAATCCGCTGGATTCCCGACGACGATGCCAGTAGCGTCACATTAGAGATTCCGCAGGTTTCCGAAGCGGCGATGAGTCGTGTGGCGAGTCCGAGTGCAAACGTGAGTAGTCCAGCCGTGCCGAAGCACGGGAAGTTGCTGACCTCGTTGGATACGTCCGCGAGCCTCGGCTCTGGCGGCGCCGGTGCGCCGAAGAGCCCCGCCATGGGCAGCAACACGCTCGGGAGCCGCACCGTGTCGCTGCTGGATGGACCCAGTCCACGGGCACCGAAGGCAGCCTACCAGACCGCAACGGTAGCCATGAAGCCCGGGCGGCTGTACGTGCTGATCGTGAACGTGCAGGGACTGAAGGGAACGAGGGAGAAGGTCGGGCACGACGACTACAGCGAATCGGTCCTGGAACCCCCGTCGGCTGCCGGAAAGCTACCACCATCCCCCGACGGGATGGAGCAGCGAGAAACCAGCGGCGATAGCGTTGCCAGCCCGGTTCCTTCTTCCGGCAGTCGCCGCTTCACCGTGGATCCCTACGTGAAAGTAGTCGTGTGGAACCGCCCGCCGGACATGGACGCGGATGCGGAGTCCGAAGATGATCCGTTTGGCGACCTAGAGGACAACACGGTGGATGTGGACAACGCTTTCTCGGTCTCGACCAAACTCGGGGAGGTGTCGACCTACAAGCGGACAAAAACGTGCATCGACAGCCGCAATCCGACCTTTGAGCAGGAACTTGCCTTCAAGTACAGCTGGCGCACGGCGGTGGAAGACCGCAAAATCCGGAACAAGGACGCCGGGCGGGACGACCATTCGGAACAGCGCATGATGGAAATGTACAAGAAAATTGTGTCGCTGGAAAAGCGGTTGGCACCCGTGCTGAAGAACATGGGCGGGACGTCGAAGGGAAAGGCGAAGTAGAGGAAGCGAGGAGATGGTTTTTTTCAGGTGGTGGAATAAAGGTACTGCTATTGGTATCAAGCTGAAGCTTCTTTTTAGCATAGGTTTTCGTAGTCTTACAAGGGGCATATTGTGGCCATCGGCAGTTGGTTGCTGACGATTACAGTTTAGCTTTAGTTTGACGTTTAGGTGGATAGAATTCAAAGAATCAGAATGATATTGTGACTTCAGCAGAGATCAAGACAGAGGAGAAACTATGTTGAGATCGCTTGTTTTTTTATAACGAAGGCGCTTTTTGTCAGTCTGCTACAGCAGTTTATCGTCGCAATTGCATTTTGTTGTTTACCTTTATCATTGCAAAACGAATCTTACTTGTCGACACTACCATTACCAGCTTTCGGCCTCGAAGGAGGGCTTCCGCCCGTTCGAGAGAGCACGAGCTCGGTTCTATACTAGCCTTATCCCGCTTCCCGTGTCCAGTAACCTGCAGACTTAATAGTATTCCGCTAGATGAATAGTAGCACTCAGCGTCTCCCTGTGGAGAATCGTTGTCGGCGCTTCAGCACAGGCAGGCCCATCTGCCGGCGATTTTCAAAGCGCCCGAACGGCTTTGGCACGATCCGGCGCCGGCCGGCGCGGCGGGGAGGTAGGCCGTTGCCGTCATCTTGCATGCTGGCGCCGGCGGGGCCACGATCTGGCGGCGGGGGGCGGGCATGGTCGGGCACCCGACACCGGCGTGGCCAGGGTCCGGCACCGGCTTGGGCATGATCGGGCACCGGCACGGCCATGACCTGGCACC